GACGAGAGAGAGAGAGAGAGAGAGGAGAGAGAGAGAGAGAGAGAGAGAGTTGGAAGAATGAGGGAGTCGGGAAAAAGGGGGATGGCAGAGAAAGAGGGCACGTGACAGATGAAGTTATATCCGGAGGGATCGGGAGGAAGACATGATTTAACCGGGCTGAAAGAATCTCAGAATATCAGCAGAATGACCTATAATTTTGCTAAGTTATGCCAGCCTAATAATAAAAGTTTTTTTTGCAACAAAAATGGCGTTGAATCCCAAACCTATTTCGAGAGCTCCAGCCGAACCTAGTCAGATGGGTTCCATTCATCATGAGCGTGGGAGCTCCCAAAGTAACTTTCGGACGCTGCCGTCTTTTCGTTTGAAGCCTAAACCGACGGCGGTAGCACGCAGATCTTTTGTTCGTCTGTCCCATGGTGATTTCCCACCGTCCAACAAAAACACCCTACCAAAACACGCGCGAATGGAATGGAAATTAAAACAACAGAATCCATAATCTAGCTGTTTGTTCACCTGTTTGGGCCGCTAGCGCCACCGAAGGGAAATGTTGATCGCCAGTTCGTGCCGGTCCCCGTCGGCGGGGTCACGTCAGCCGCGGGGTCACGCCGGCTGACTAAGCCTCTGGGTTCCGGTGCTGCTGAGCTCCAGGAGCAGGCTCAGCCGCCGGGTTCCGGGTTCGCCGCATCTGCGATCCACGCTCTGGCGGTCACGTGACCGGAGCTCGCGCTGAGCGGTCGTGCCGGCCTTTTTGCGGCGACCGAGCCATTCTTATCAGGCGCGCGGCGGACGGCCGCCGCCGCAGCTGGCGCCGCCGCCGCCAGTCGTGGCCCGCTGGAAGACCGGCCGATTATTTCTGCCGCTGAGCGCAGTCTTTTGCCGCGTATCGTGCAATCCGCTCGGTATCCGCGGACAGCCCTTCATGGACGTCGTATTTAATGGTCAGATCGTGCGATCCGATGCATGCGAGACGGTTTGCCGCCGGTGGATGGCGTCCAGGAAGCCGTTGCACGCCCGCCATATAATGGCTTCCAAGCGAGGCCAATTAGAATGCATGTAACTGGCCTCCATAACGGGGAATGCCCATTGGTTAGCCACCGTTTCTCCAGGCCGATGGTAAATGGGCGTACTGCATGCAGACGAGGCTACTTTTAGCGGCCGTCCGCCGTCCGAGCTTCGAACGCCGCATTGGCGCTATGATTTAGGTGCGCGCCCCGGACGAGTCTCTTCACGACAACGTCCAATTACGAGGCCTAGTCTCCAGAAATATCTTCTGCGACCAGCTAAGTGGTGCCTAGGGCCTACACGGCGACACTTCTGCCGCGCAAAGTGGGCATTAAAGCCGGGAGCGGGCGGCCATTTTCACGAAGACGTGCCCGGCACGGCACCGCCGCCGATTCGGGCGCCGGACTCGCCGCGCCGCCCGCGCTCGCCGCCGAGACGAGCGGCGGCGCGGCGGCGGCGGACGGCGCGGCCGATCGGCAGAGTCGGCGTCGTCCGATCAGACCGGGCCGATCGGTTCGGCGGCCGGGCACCGCCGCCGCCGAGATATGGCAGCTCCGCCCGGCGCTGGCAGCTCGATACGTCAACGGCGACTGACGCGACCGATACGGCTGGGAATTGTCGATAACTCGGCCGGAAATGGGCCGTCGCCGCCGCCGACTCGCCCGTCAGCTGGATGCCGGCGGGCGCGCGGGCCCTCCGACGCGACCGGCTTGTGGGCGCCCCCTATCGCGGAGATGGCGTGTTTGCCGGCCAAGATGTGCGCCGGCGAAGCGTCCATCCGGCCGGCCGCGAGGCGCCTCGACGGAATGGCGCGGTGCGATCGCATTCTCATTCCGCCGATGAGGCGGGACACGCCGCCGCCATTGTCCGGAATGCTGACGACGCGGTGAAGCGTTGCCGATCAGGAAACGCTCCGAGACGGCCTCATCTGTCGAAACCGGAGCTAGCGCCGCATTGAGGCCGATCCGCGGTTTGTCCGACGTCACAGCTGGGCGAACGCTCTGATCAGGACCGGCGGTGCACCAGGCCCCCGGACAGATGTGCTTCGTAGCGTGGCGAATGAGCTCCACCATGCATCATGCCGGGGACAAACTAATCTACTCCCACCAACTATCGATCAGCCCCGACAAACCATCTATCTATAACCCTGAAGTCCGACCCACGCCGATGAGCAGAACCATACGGCCTCACAGAGGAGCCTGCCGCGCCGGGCCACTTATGGCAACCTGATACCACCTCGGCACTGTGAGCCGCCCGTTGTTGCCTGGTCTCCGGACCCCCGCCGCCTCCGTATCTCCGGCCGCACGTTGTTAACATCTCCCATCACGTCAGGGCTAATGCTCCTGGGGTCCACAGAGGTTGACCCGTCATCGTGGGAACCGCGCCGGAGCTCAAATTGCCTCTGCCTTCTCCTCTCCCCCGCCTCCCTCTGTCTTGTTCTCCCCTCGCTCCTCCGCGCCTCCACACCGTCTCCCCCTCCCCCTCCCTCTCTCCCTCGGCGCCGTGACCTGACGCGTTCTCACCGGCGCCGGTGTTGCGGTGTTGCGGCGGCGGCCCGGCCCGTCTGGGAGGGCTGCAGCCGAGCCGGCCGCCGCCGTCTGGTCGGTGGTTAGCGTCGATCACGACGGGCCGTCGCCTCGACGTTGACTGGCGGCCGCGGCCTGGTATGCGACCTGGCGGCGCGCGCCGGCTGCCGCCACACAAAACGCGCCAGGTGCGGCGGGCGCGGCCGCCATCGAAGGCGTTGCTGGCGTGAGGCGGGAGTCCTCGGAGGCCCACGAAGACTGGCGTCACACGGGGTCCGCAGTGACTGATGGTCCACGGCAGTGCTTTGCTCAAACGCGCATGGATGCTAATGTTCTGTCGCGAGCTGAGAAAAGTATTTTCCTGAGTTGAATTTTTTAAAAGTTCTCCGAGCTGAGTTTTCAGCGGCGCCTGCCTTTACATGATAAGTTATTTTCTTTAAGGACGTTTTTCTTTCATTTAGAAGACGCAGCTTCCGTCGGATGATGCAACGATATTCGTGCTTATCGCCATGTTGCTCAACTCCATCCCAGATGAACGCTCGAGGAGCAGCTATTTGTCTCCATCCGCTGTGAAATGGAGACCACGAATGCTGAACCTGATGTATCTATCTCAACCAACTGTCTACGGGTGCTTCCGCAGCGGCGGGCGTGAGGAGGGAGGGGGAAGTTCCCATTTCGAGGACCCAAACTGGGCCAGACGTCCCAACCCGACACCGCAGAACGTCCGGCCGGCCGGCACTGGCGACCTGCGGTTCCCCTCGAACATTCGCAACGCGTGGGACGAGCGAAGCCTGCCTGAGCTGGACGCGGCACACCTTGGCGTCGCGGTTTGCGTGCCGACAACTGTGACTCACTCGCAGTCCGCGAGCCCCCAGCGGCGCTCCAAGAGGCCGGGGCGGGGGTGGCGCCGGGCCCCAGCGTCGCCGGTCTGGCGCTCCGCCCGGCCTGTCCCTCCAGCGTCTTCGCCCCGTCCCTGTCCCGTCACCAGCCCACGGTTCGCTGCGCCGCGACGGCGACTTTCGACATTGTTATGGTAATGGCAGAGCAGATGTTGCCGGGCTTCTTTGATTATACTGCCGTCGGCGGCGTCTTCAAAGCGCGCCGCGGCCGAGTCACTCGGAATCGCTCCGACGAGCCTCGGACGCTCGCCATCAATTCCGCCATGATAATGTGAAATAGCTCGAATTGAGACAGTCGCCATCAAAGACAAATAAATGGCCATTCACGTGCTCAGTCATCCACGGGCTCTACCGTCGGATCCAGCCGGCGACCAAAAAGGCTCACTCTGATAAATGACTTTGGGTCTATATTTAGCCGACAACAGGCCCTCGTTTATATACGTTCATTACACCATGGGATAACAATAAGGTTTAAAATAACCAAACAAGTGGCTGGTTCGGCCTGAGAGCGAACACCACACCCTGCAGCCGCCAGTAACAAAACGGAACCACAAACACAACGTGAAACCATTTAAAGCTAGCTCCACACCGGCCAAGCTCCGCTCCACTCCGCCCTCCGATTATGAAAGCCACTATAACATCACATGTGAACGCAAGGTAAGGGATAATCACAGAAGAGTGGGCGTAGCGGCGGGCGCCTCGGCCGCCCGGGCGCGCGAGCGCTCTGTCCCGCGTCCGGTGCCGGCGGCGCCGCACGCCGCGGACGTCCTGCGCCGCGCCCTCAGCCGCGCTCACACTGGCCCTGCGCGCACAGCCACTGGTCGGCCCCGGTCGGCGCCGCCGGCTACTTCACCGCCGGCTGCTGGTGCTGGAGCGGGAACGGCACCATCTCCATCGCCGCGACGCCGTCTGAAACGAGAGAGAGCGTCGTCAGGCGCACATCCGCCGCCGCTGGGCCGTTCTTCACGCGACGGGCGCGGCGCGGCGGCCGGCCCACGACCGGCGACACGCACACCGAGCGCGCCAGCCCGGCTCCTAATTGCGCGCCATTACGTCCGCCGATGGGCACTTACCCCGAATTGAACCTGGCCGCGCCAGTTGGGCCCCCGCTGGCCAATGGCGGCCATTACGCGTCATTCAGGGCGCCCGGGGATGGCGGTGGAGCAGCTCGTCTGGGGCGGCGCGACCCGACGCAAACAGCCGCTGATTCCGCCGGCCGCGCCGCCTCAAAGGAAGCCATTGTGGCCGGGCATAAACGCGGCGCGCCCGGCGCCCGACGCCGGCCTTATAAATAACCGATCGCCTAATGACGGTGCCCGCTGACGGATGGCCTCCGCCGGCAGCCGCGGCGCGCACAGTGCGACCATTGTGGCGCGCGCGCTCCCACGGCGCGCCGCGCCGCCGGCGCCGCGCGCCATCCCGCGCCGGCCGCCGAGTTTCGGCTATCGTGCGGCGATCGCGGCGCCGGCGCTTTAAATTCTGCGTCGCTGCCGCCGAAATGCCGCAGATATCGGGGATGCCGCTGCCGGAATAATAACATGACTGCGATGGCGCTGCGGTGCGCCCCCTCTGGCGCTCCGCTTATCGAATTCCTGTCCAATCATCCGCCATCTGATTAGACGCTTCGGCGATCAATAGTCGTCCGTTAATGAATCCTTTGAGAGCGGCCGTAAAGCCTGTCTCGGTACCGCGGTCTGACAGGCCGGCGGAACACACGGGAGGGGCGGGGATGATGCCGGCCGGCGGGTGGGGAACACCGCGTGGGGGTTGGGGGACGGGGTGCCACGCTAGCCCCCGGAGCGTGGTAGAAGCAAGGCGGACTTTCTCCACGCCGCATCGGCCAACATCCTTCAACTCCCACAGCTCCTCTGTGTCCGTGCCAATAAATCTCCGCCGGTTTCTGACGGTCTCACCACGCTCTCGCTATCTCACCGCCGGAGCCACGCCGACACCGCAGGTCTCACAAATCCAAAAAAAAACGTTGACAATGTTGCCGATTTCCCACCAGTTTACGATGACATGGTGCAAGCGCAGTTTTGTCCAGTCACAACGTCGAGCTAGGTTTTTGGCTGCTGGCCTGCCCCGTAACATCCATCCGTTAGACTCTTCGCTCCCACTGCGCCTCGGGAGAGGCTGACGAGGCTGAGGATGACATTAGCTTTTAGTTCCGCATCGCTGCAGACCGGCCAGCCAGCCAGCCAGCCATAGTTTAGGCGGTGCAAACCGTTCAAACAGTTGGAAACTGGTTTTCAAAGCAGGCGTCCATCTCGTAGCAGATGCACGGACGCAGCAGGTCAAACACAAATCCCGTGATAATTATCTGATCCAGCAACCAGACAGCCGCAAAACCTAAGCTCATGTTGCGGCTGGAAAGACGCTAAGCCGTCAGCGGTCTGCGTTAGCATGCTGCACGCCGCATCAGTAATACACGGATTTAAAAAGGCAAAGCCTTCCCCGGACAGCCCGCTTACTCGACGATCAATACGTCTGCAGACCCTGACTCATCGGGCGCGACTGCCGCCGAGTCGCGGTGAGTCAGCCGGCCCGAGTCGGCCGGGGTGAGGTCACCCGGCTGACCCCCGTCGCGCCGCAGGCGCCGACTCGGGTCAGCGCGCCGCGGCCGCGACGGGCACAGAGCGCGCCGACAGGAAGCGCCCCATCGGCTGCCAGGAGCCTGAGTCGGAACATCCTGTCTGGGGGCGGGGCGCGAGAGCACGACCTCGAGCGAAACTCGAGCGCCCCCGCTCGGGCCGCGTAAGCCGGAATAGGCGGATTGGGGCGGACAACCGGTGAGTGAGGCCAGGGCAGGCTCCCATGACGCGGCGCCGAGCGGATCACTTCCACAGAGCCGACCGCCGCGGCGGGGCGGATGCTGGCCTCGGCGGCTCGTTCCGACGAACAAATACCGACAGCGATGAAAACCCGCTCACTCGAAGAGGCAGTTCACGCCAAGCAGGTGATTAGAGGCAGAGCAGCTGGGCGCCCTAAAAGGAAACATCATATCGCTTTGACCTCCTTTTGGGACTTCACCGTTGCCCTTTTCTGGCGCAGTTCCCGGTCTTCCTCTGCGTCTGCGTGCCTCTGCCTCCTTTGCTCTCTCTGTTTCCCTCCCGCTCTCACCGCCCGCAGGTTCAGGCGGCGCGTTCGTGACTGGGGGTCATTAGCCATAAATGGCCGGTGTTTTATGACCGTCCAGGTCATCACTGAACATACTATTGAGCCATTCACTCTGCATTTACGTTAATCTTGAATGACGCCGTTAAGCCGCGCCACGAATGCCGCGTGGCACGGATCCCGCGGCGCACCCAGCGCGGACCGGACGGCGCGTCGGCGCCCCCCCCCCCCCCCCCCCCGCCGGGGTTCGGGGGGGGGGGGGGCGACGTCCGCCGAGCGGCCTTAAAGCGGACTCCATGGCGCGACTATCAATGACCGGCTCTCACCCGGCGCCGGCGCGCCTGTCTATTCACTCACGGCAGACTTCAGTGATCATTTACACTAGATTAACGTTATCATTCACACTCGGCCAGATTTAATGCGGTACAGCAGGTGCGGTGATCGTCCAAGCTGCAGCGAACTATTATTCATGGCAAGACCGGATCGTCATTCACAATGGCCCAACAGATTATCTGTCACGCCACATCAGAGTTTTGAGCAAATACGGCATCGGAGCGCGACTAATGACGCAGATACGGCTAGGATATGAGCGCTATTTTTCACCACACCCGGCAACTTTCCTTCGTAGCGATCTAAGGGTAGCTAAGCACGAGCGCATCACCATGATAAACGACTGCCGTGCTTAGTAATCCGGGCATTAGCGAAACTGCCGCATTTATTTTAGAGGTCGTAGCCAGCTGAGTACACAGCGAAATATGAAAACACACCGCCATCTGCCCTGTAAATTACTAGGCTTTATGGCGCTTTTAATTACCCGCCGGTGATAAATATTTTTTCACGGCCGCGGCGGCGGCACGGCCGGGCGGCGCCGTCTCAGCGCCCACCGTCCGCCGGCCGCCGCAGCCCCGTTCCTTGTGTCCAGCGCGGCGGGTGGCGCCGATTTCGCAGCACTGATCGACCAAATATTGACACGCGGCGAATATTTGCCCATCGGAGGGCGAGCCGGGCTTGTCGCGGCACTGTTTGCCGTCCGATTACGGGGTCCGGCCGGAGCGGGGCGGCGTGGGGTCGACACGGCGGCCGCGGGTCCGCCGCCGGTCCCGCCGTAGGGTGCCGGCGTCTAGATTGACGGCCCCGAGCGCGATTCGCGCCTGGCGCAGCCGCGGGGCAGCCTATCTCGCTAACAAGCGCCGCGCCTCCGGTGGCGCCGCTCGGGGGAGATCGCCCGGCATTGAGCGATCCATCGTCATCAGGCCGACAGGCGCGGCTCGTCAGGCGCCGCCGCCGGCGGGTCTGGCCGGCGCGCTCCGCGGGTCACGAACGCCCCCGGCGACCCGTCAGCGCGACAGGCCGCCTGGGGCGAACCGCAGTCACGTGACCGGGTCGACGGCCGGCCAGATGGAGCCCCGGCCGGCTTTGGAACTTGACGTTAATCCTGGACCCCGGCCTTGCCTGCGGTTTGGCAGTATGTTGGACTCTGGAGCCCCGTATAACCAGTCTGCTTCGCTTTGCCCGGCCCTGGCCCTTCGCTCCATATGCCGGCCATGTCTGGAAGCATATCTAATATGTCCACCGCGGGTAACGCACGTCCTCAATGAATCATTTCATTGGAACCGCGGGCGCCGAAAAAGGATCGATTGCTGCCGGCTCCGTCTGTAGATTGCATCAGCTGAGGCATGTCGCCGTCGTGTTAGCGTTCCGTCGCGGACGTCCGGAGTTTCATCAAGGGGCTGGTCCGGAGCTTGAAGTTGGGCTCGAAGCAGGCTAAGTTTACCAGCCGATCCTGTCTCCGCCGGGCGGGGACTGATCCTAATGTCCAGTCGCTGGCAGCTCGGAGGCAAGCACTCTTGATGAGCGTCAAAATGTCAGCGGCGTGGCGGCGCGATGCGCTCAGACACATCGCCCTAATGACGCATCGGATGCCCTAATGACACGTCGCGAACAGATGCAAAGATAGAGCCGACGAAAGTCCCAGCACGATGGCAGAGATAGTCCGCGGTTGGGGCGGGGTCGCGAACTACATGTGTTCAGGGGAGTCAAAGACCTCCGAAGTATCTGACGACAGATTACGCGAGCAGGGACATGGCTTTTCACAATGCACTGCAAACCGCGCCGGTGTCGTCGGTTGTCGGAACCGTACAATCAGCCACCGGGCCACCGGTCAGTCCCCGAACCATCACGCCAATGGAACACCCCGTCCGTGCTACCCGTGCCCCACGTGCTCGCGTCCCACCGGAGCACCCTGTCCGTGCCACCCGTGCCCCATGTGCTCGTGTCCCACCGGAGCACCCTGTCCGTGCTACCGTGCCCACGTGGTTCCGCTCCCACGGGCGGGCGGCCGCGGCTCACAGCCCCCTCCCTCTTCCTCGCCACCCCAGGTCTGTGCCTCAGCACCGCCATCATCGCCCCTAGACGGAGTGCACTCACTGCCGGCGCACTCGCGGGGACTCGCGCCGGTCGGGGTCGGGACGGATGACAAAGCGGGTGCCCGCCCGCCGTGAAGGGCATCGCGGCGGCGGGGACCACCGGGGCGGACCTGCGCCTCTGCGCTGTCGGGGCGGGTCCTGAGGCGGCGGAGCGCTGGAAATCAGCTGTCAGGAACCCAGGAAGCGTACCTCGAAGCACGTCAAGCTCCGGGCGTCCGCCATCTTTCCCATGCGTGCCGCTGAAGTGTGTTTTTCGAATTCAACTGAGTCAACTCCCGCGGGAAAATGATAACCATTCCCGTTTGCTATTGCTGACACTTTCGTTCCCAGGACCATTTTTGGCAGTTCCTCGAACAGCAGCTGCCGTGTTCCCTGTTGGTCACCTCCGGCGTGTGGCCGATAACGCAGCTGACCCCGTTCTCACGGGCCCGGCCACTGCTCCGTCGCCGGCCTCCCTTATCCTTCAAGGATCGGCCCACGGACCTTATCCCTGCGGTGATCAACCGGCGGCAATCTATCCCTTCATCGATCTACCATCCGCCGGTGACCAGATCGGTGTCGGATCGGTGTCCGAGAAGCATCCTATTTGGCGCCTTTTGAGCTTTTAGCTCCTCGGCTTCGTGGCGTCACTCCAAACGTGAGTGACGTCAGCGAGTCAGTGCACAGGGCGGGACAGGGGGCTTGTGAGAAGAAAGCGGGACAATGCGGCGAGAGAAAAAAGCCGTGTAGCAACGAGGCGCCGCTCCGCTGGCCCGGTTAGCGGCCGTGAGTTTAGCCGAGCGCAGGCGGGCAGCGGAGCGTGGACACCAAGCATGTGTCATTTGGGGTAGGTGCGGAAAACGACCTCGCTTCAGCGCCGCTCAAAATAGGCCCTCGGTTGCACGCGGCGCGTGCAAGGCCTTCGAGGAACGACGTGGTTCAATGCCAGTCACTCCTTCGAAGAAAAGCTTTCCTGACCGTGAATGGACGGTTTCGAAAAGTTTCTGTTTTTCAATCTGTATGGCCGTTGACAAATGTTGGGAGACAGCCGACAGTCTTCCCATGCCCATTTACGCTATTGAAAGGAGTGACTGGGGCATGCAAGACTTATGCCAAAATCGACATCGATTCTCACTCGCAGGGCACTGAGGCTGATTCGGACATCGAGCGGCGCTGCATAACTTTAAGTTTGATCCTTTTCCAGCTCGAGAAGAAATGGCGCACGATTGAGGCATACAGCTGCGAATAATACGCGTCACTAAATGAGCTTTGGAACAACCGATGCAAAATATTACGTAACCAACATATGAAGAGAAGAGAGCCACAGATGATGGTGCTTCATCTGGTTTACATATAAACTGAAACGCCATTAACTTGCATTCAATTTCGGGGAATCGATTCCACCCTGACTCAACAAAAATGTGGTTGATTCCTGTAGCCCGCTCCGGCTATAACCCGAGTCAAGCTCAAACAACTCTGGGCGCGGTATATTACACCGTTACAGTGTTGATCAACACACCCGGACCTCAAGTTCAGTTAGTTCGCAGACTCACTGGTTGTTAAATGCACGGGTTCCCTACTTGGCGACTGCACAGGCTCACTGGCTGCCGGAAGTGGGTGGCGCCGTGCCCTGGCACTTCTGCTCCGCCTGCGTCGGCCTCTGAAACGCCGCGACGGCGACACGAAAGGTCGTAGCCGTGAAATAAACAGCCATAACTGTGCCGCGGGCCATTGAGGCTGCGGCTCTACGTGTCGTAACCACGGCACGACGTGCCACAACTGCGACGAAGGCCATCATAACCGTTACGACCCTGCAGGGAAGACGCTCACAGCTGTCGGGGAAACGACGCTTGAATCTTCTTAACTGCGCTACTTTACGGTTAGCCGTGCAGAACATAACCAGGACGGAACAAACCGAGCGTGACGTATTGACACATCAAAGAAAGATGTCGGCTGCCTTCGAGTCCCACGACTCAGGCCGTTTTCTTGGTATGCCCTGGCCCCAAAGCACGCCTCTATCCTTTTACTTTAACCGCAGCACATTTAGTTTAGGGACATCTCACCGTTTGACTCTCTGCCTTTTCTCGGCGAACCAAACAGAAGTACGCTACCTTCCCATGTCTAATTAAATGCTACATTTGTCTTACGCGCAGACGTATGTGACTTTCCTTGCACTGAGAGGAGCACTTAAGAACCCAGACTTCCGCGCCGCCTCGCGAAGTTTAGGCCATTTCTGTGACGTCACGATCCGACCGGTCCTGATTAAGAGCCGACGGGTGGCGACGGGCGAAATCGATCGCGCCGCGCCGCCCCCGGGGGAGGGGCTCCGTCAGACGGGCCCCAGGCGGCGTTCGTCGGGACGGCGGGACGGCGGGGGGGGGGGGGGGCGGACGGTGCCGGCCGCGCCCAGCTGGCCGCCGGCTCCCCGACAGGCGCAAACCCAATAGCGCCGCTTCTTCATCGGCCGCCTAATGACATTTGTCACGGGAATGCGCTCATTAAGCGTGGCCTGAGCGATAGTCGGCGGCGCAGCTGACGCCGTCAGCAGGGGAGGGGGCGGGGGCAGGCGGCACCACCCGGAGCGCGCAGTCATCGAACGCGTACGGGCGCCGCCGCCGCCCTGCGTGCCGTTCAGCGGCGGCGGAGGCGGCGGCCAAAGCGGGGCGGGCGCCCGCACGGCCCTCTAATTGGATGGGACCAGCCTAAAAGCGCTTTTGACAATGCTATTACGCCGCTTTCAGCGCCGCTGACGGAGCGGGGCGTAGGCCAGCCAGGCGGGGAACTGATCCCATTTCCCGGCATCACGTCGCCGCGTGCCGTGGCCCATTAGCACGGAAAATTCGCCATTCAACTGCACAGCCGGCCGATACCAGCCTGGGGCCTCCCAAAACTCGCCTGCGAGATAACCATCAGAGGCCTTTAATGCGAGCGTCCGGCACGGCCGCAGGCGGCCATTGTTACACCATTTGCCCCGAGTGGCCGGCGGGGGCGCCGCGGTCCCTCATTAGTCCTGCATCACTCTGGAGCGGCGCGGTTCGCTCCGGACCACTCCTGCCGGCGGGCGCGGCGCGCTTGCGCGGGCGCAGGAGCAGCACGACGGGGTGGCCACGTGGCGTCAGGAGGGCGGCGGGTGACACTTCATTACCGCCGTCCTGCGCGCGTCCGGCGAGGCCTGGCGGACCTGAGGCCTGGCGGACCTGAGATCTGGCGGACCCGAGGCCTGGCTGACCTGAGGCCTGACGGACCTGAGATCTGGCGGACCTGAGGGCTGACGGACCTGAGGCCTGATGGACCTGAGGCCTGACCGACCCGAGGCCTGACGGACCGGAGGCCTGACGGGCCGGGGAGTTGCGAGCTGACGGCAGCACGGTCTGGTTGGCCCCTCAGTCGGGCGCCATCAGGCTCAGCGACAGACAATCAGGGGACGCGCCTGAATGTCAGCCATTGAACGCAGCGGCTCCGAGTCAGCCATGCAGGCTCAAGTACATTCAGTAACGAACCGTTCTTCGCCAGGGCCCTTCGTTCCCGGCTAATTGGCAACGGCACTGCGTCGCCTCTGCGCATCATTTGTATTCGTCGCGCGCGCCGCTCGACAAAAGAACCTCGCGCTGGGCGACACACAACTCGCCGGCGCAGCTGAGTCGATTTGTTAAGGCGGGGCACTTATTGCGTTACGACCCATGCGAGGCGCCGGCGCGAGGAGAAACGACGACATTGCGACGACTGACGACGCGGTACAACGGGGGCGACGCATCGGGGGGGGGGAGGGGAGGGGGTTGACAACGACGTCCCCCGCCGACGCACCCCCACCGTTCCGCCGTAGCTGTCAGAAACTAATCGCGGCACAGGCTGCTGGAGTTATGAGGCCGCGCCGGCTGGCGTAAAAAATGATTCATTTCCAATTTCCTGCGGCGCCGCGATCGTCCGATCGCCGCTGAATGACGAGCCTATCCGAGCGACCGTGCCCGGCCAGCGAGCGCGGAACGCTGATGAATCGCCTGCCAGATTACGATCGACGTACCTTGCCAAGACAACCGGCGCACACGGCCGCTGCTGAGGGATCACCGCTCCGTTCGGGCACCGTGTGTGCCGACGAACGCGGGAGAACACGCATCCCTCGTCCGCCCGCACGTCCACGGGTCAGGTCGTTTACATCGGCGCTGGCGGAGCGCGGGGTCGCATAGTGATCTCATACGGGCGGTCCAGTATCAAATGTTTGCCTGATCTGCATTCGTGAAACGAAACAGATGGCCATCATCTCCAGCTGGCTTCTTTTTATTGCCGCAGCTGGTATGCTATGCCAGATACGTAAGCAATGCTGATCCCTTGTCAGTCCAACGAGAATGAAAGACAAATGATGGCGTCATAAATAATTGAGAAGCGGCAGGCTATCGATACATATAAACCGGCCGGTACACAGAGATGCCAGACGGCGATTGCCCAGTATCGGGCATATCGACATTCTCACAACAGGTCGTATCGGTCCGGAATAATCGGGACGACTTTCCCCGCCCCCTCCCCCCGCCGCCGCCACATTGTTTCGCCCAGCCCCGCGATAGGCCCGCCCCACCCATTACGGCCCGTATACGCCTTAACAAGCCAGCCCACTGATACCATCGTCACGGCAAAAACGTGCCAGCGGGCTGGCAGCGCATTTATTCACGGGGATGCTATCGCGCGGGCAGACAAGCGACCCCGCCGTGTTCCGAGCCCGTCAGTGGAAGGGGTGGGGTGGGGTGGGGGAGATGCGGACAGCCGTCACCGGGCCCACCGTGTCCCGCCCCATGCCCGACCCCTGACCGGGTCACAGGCCGGCCGACGGACAGCCGCGTCCGCCGCCGTCGGCCGGGCTCTGGCGCCAGCGTCCTGCCGCGCCAGCCGAGATACTTACTGTGCCAGTGGCCGAGGCGTCGGCGCTTGGCCACTTCGTCCAGCGCTGTCTCGTGCCGCCGCTTGCGCTTGGCGAGCACGTCACGGGCGGCGGCGTCGGAAGGCGCGCCGGCGCGACGACACCACTCGGCCGGCTCGAGCTCCACGCTGGAGTAGCCGCTGTCCGAGTCACAGCTCACACTGGGCGTCACGAACGCCAGCCGCGTGCTGCCCGGCTCGGGCGCAAACCGCTCCAGCATGCAGTTGTAGCGCGGCGGCTGCTGCTGCTGCTGCTGCTGCTGCTGCTGCTGCTGCCGCTGCTGCTGCTGTCGCTGCTGTTGTTGTTGCTGCTGTTGCTGCTGCTGCTGGAGTTGCTGCTGTTGCTGCTGCTGCTGCTGGAGCTGTTGCTGCTGCTGCTGCTGCTGCTGCTGCTGCTGCTGCTGTTGCCGTTGCTGCTGCTGGCGTTGTTGATGTTGCTGCTGCTGGAGCTGATGTTGCTGTTGAAGGAGCGCCGGCTGGTGCTGGAGGGGCACCGGCCTGAGCTGCTGCTGCTGAGGCGCCGGCCGAAGCTGTGGCTGCTGCTGCTGCTGCTGCTGCTGCTGCTGCTGCTGCTGGAAGCGCGGCCAGTCGCACGTCACGCCCGGCCTCTGGAAGGCCGGCGGCACAGCGGCAGCGGTGGCGGTGACGGCGGGGGCGGCCGGCGGCGGCGCGCACGCCTCCAGCGGCATCCGGCGGCCGTAGAAGTTGCACAGCTGGCAGACGCAGGCCGAGCCGAGCGTGCGCCGGTGCCGCAGGTGCTCGAAGTACTGCGGGTGCACGATCAGCAGCGGCTCGCTGTTCTCCGGCGGGTACGCCTCCTTCGGCAGGTCGTATTCGACGGTGGTGTCGACGAACAGCGGCTGACTCAGGTCCCTGGCGGCGTCCGTGGAGGAGCTGACGCGGCTGGAGCGCAGCGGCGCGCAGCAGAGTGGCGCCGGCGGTGCCGGCCGCACCGGCACCGCCCGGCCCGGGTACAGACTGGGCGGGCCGGCCGCGCCGCGCGCCTGTTGGCTCCTCCCCGAGTACAGACTAGTCTGGCCCGGTGCGCCGCACGCCTCAGTCCTCCCTGGGTACAGACTAGTCTGGCTGAGCGCGCCGCACACTTCACTCATTCCCGGGTGCAGGCTGGCCTGCGTCTTGCCGCACACGTTCGTCCTCAGAGGGTAGAGGCCGCCGGCCGCTCCGGGCGCACCGCACAGCTCCTTGGCCGACCAGAGGCCGCAGGCGGCCGCCGCCAGCTCCTTGGCGGGCTCGTAGAAGCCGGCCGGGCCGTGCCGCCACACAGCCTCCAGCGTTTGGGCGTGGTGTGAAGCCGCCGGCCCGAACGGCACGCCCGAGGCCGTCTGGTGCACGTCCGGGACCATGGCTGCGCGCATTCAGAGTCGGCACACGCGCCTCAGCTGTGCTGACATGCCGCCGCCGAAGCACTGAACGATCCCGGGCTCCCGCGTCACTATCAGCTGATCAGTCCCGGCCGGCGGACGCGCGCGTCCTCCCCGCTCGGCGCCGGTCGGCTGTCTGAATACCGACGCCCGGCGCGGCCGGCCGGCCAACGTTCGACGCCCGCCCGCCAGGGGCGCTGTCGGCGGGCGCCGCGCATGTAAAATACGAGATTCCGATCGAGGCTGGTTCCGTCCCCATGGGCGCGACCAATGAAAATAAATTAAGATTTGCCGCGTGTCCCGCGGCCGCGCGATGGATGGCGTCCCCCGCTGCGGCGGCCAATGGCCGTAACTTGCCTGCCCTCGACAGCGCGACGCTTTCGAAGACGGACGAACGTGTAGGAGCGGAGCGCGGAATGCTGCACATCGATCACGACCTCCCGTGAGTCGGGCACGGAGTAAACAGACCCCGGCTCGCTCCGGCGCGCCGATGTCCGTGCGCCGATTGCGCCCCAAGGTACACAGTCGCTTCATTTGTCAGTTGGGAGCGGCCGCCGCCAGCGCGATAGTAAAATCCGCGACACCGCTGTTTATTTTCCGAGCCGAGTGTGAAATACGTCCACGGCCCTCCCGCGAGCGCAGTTTCAAATATTTATTCGCGCCGGACAAGATGAGCGGGGCGGTTTACCGGCGCGAGACATGCGTGTCAGACAGGGAACATGGTCTCAGGGCCAGGAGGAGGGCTCACCAGCTGTAGCCAGCAAACCCTGCGCGGTTTAACGCAGTGCCGTTCCCAGGGTCGGCACGGCCTGCAGTGTGCTGAAACTCGCTATCTTCCTCTTCAAAATAGCTTCCAAATGAATCTGTGAAATCCTGACAGCATTAATACCGTGCTATAGCCACGTTGTTTGTTGGGCGTTATTTGCTGGCCGTAACTTGACAAATGTTGAGCAAGTGCCAGGGCACCAAAAGCCGGCCTCATAGATACCTGAAAGGAAACTTTTTTCACATGCATGCAAATTACAACATGCATCGGGTGTACAGAGTTCCCCATGCCTCGGTGCAAAGTACCTCGTCATAGCGCAAATGACTGCCGTACCGGGTTTTTGCGGTCAGTGCACACGGCGTGCCTTCGGAAGCACGACGTTAACACCACAACAAAGACCAAAAATCGGCTCCAACAAGCGCGGAGGTGGCGCCTGGCCGGGGCATTTCCCGCGGAACTCAACGATCGGCTGACTCTTTCGAGGGGTCATGCAGGAAGGGCGGCGAGCGGCGGCCGCAGCCGGGCGCCAGCGGATTGGGGCGCGGCCCTTGTGACGTCACATCCCCGGTGATTGTCTCTCGGCGCGGCGGCGCCGCCCCGCTGCCGCCGCCGCCGCGCCGACGGCCTGTGGCGTGGGAATTGGCTTTCATTCGCGCGGCAAGACAAGCGGCGCGGTGATATGCAGGTTTTAACATCATTTTTCTCCTTTGACATTCCAGTTTGATTGCTACATTGTTGTAAAATCGGATTGCCCGCTGCCGTGATTACGGGCTGGAGCATTAGTCACAATAGTTTTTCCTGTCGTTTGCTTCAGAAATATGTGCTACTGCCATTCAGCTTTATTGTTCCTCTTTCTTTAGCTCCGTCCGTCTCTAGCTTTCAGGACAGGAAACAAAACTTAAAACTGGTTTGGTGTGCCTGTGTGTGATAGGTAGAGGTGCGCATGCACTTAAAAAACACGCACAACGGTGATGGACAGACAGGGGCCCGTGCAAATGCGGGGACACCAAACATCGTCAAGGAAACGAAATAAGGGCGCGCCAAACAAGGGTCTACATCCCATGGGTTCTGATGGGTTGGGATTTCATGGCTTGGGTTTATGATCCCATAAGGTTATCTGCTTATAAGATTCTTGTATCGGATCATGGGGTCCATACCGGGCCTCAGGCACATGTCTGCCTGATTTCACACAGCCCACTGCAGCACACTGAAACGTCGAGTGCCGTAGAAAAGCTGAGACGTCAACACGAAAGGCAACTGCAAAGAATTTCATACCTTACGGACCTCCTAAAACAACTCACAACCACGTGAAAAGGCAAAATAATCATTACAGGAGTCTGCAACAGAGACGCGTCCAGGAGTGTGTGTGTGTGTGTGTATGGAGGGGGGGGGGAGGGGCCTTGCCCCCCCCCCCAGTTCTCGAGAGCTCAATTTTTTTGGCATTTCCTACCCCCCTGAGGAAAATTTTGCCTGCATGACACTGTGGGGACCGTGGCACCGGACACGCATCTGATGCTTCCTAACACAGCGGTACGAGATCTCCTGGCGTAGTCCCCGGAGGCACCTCACGGGGGTTCCCTGAGAGCCGAGCCCGCTGAAGGCCCCTGTGCGAGTCTCCGAAGGGCTCCTGTCGAGGCTCCCCACCAGGGCACTTCTCGTCGCCTCCTGACGAGACCTTTGTTCGCGGGAAGATGGGGTCAGTAGATCTCCGCACGCAATGGCGTGCATCAATTTGCAGTTTGGTGCCACGTGCGTGCCTCTGCAGGCGAAAGATCCGCACGCCTGCAACACTTGCTCATAAACTTCGGCCATCCAGGGTAATTTTGTCCACGCAATACGTCATATACCCATTGCATGCATGCTTTCATTAGTCCTGTTGACGTGATGTTATGATTACAATGGCATGCACATGATCACCCTGCTGAAAGACACATCACAGATACACAACCATCAGCAGGGAGTTCACACAATCGACCATAAGCACGCACGGTTGTGAAAAGCACGTCACGTCTACTGCTGCTGCTATAAAGAGGCACGTCACCTTTACCGCCTGCCAACACGTCACACGCAAGTAAAAATGCACGTCGCTTCTACTGTCCGCTGGCACGCCATCACGGCCCAGAGCCGCCGAGCGTCGACCTTGTCCACCCGGCCCGGACCGCCGATCGGCGGCGTATCAGCGTCAGTGAGTCGCGAGGCAGCCGCAGCCCCGAGCCGCGAGGCAGCTACAGCCTCGAGCCGCGAGGCAGCTGCAGCCCCGAGTCGCGAGGCAGCCGCAGTCGTGACCCGCGAGGCAGCCGCAGCCCCGAGCTGCGAGGCAGCCGCAGCGGCGAGCCGCGAGGCAGCCGCAGTCCCGAGCTGCGAGGCAGCTACAGCCTCGAGTCGCGAGGCAGCTACAGCCCTGAGTCGCGAGGCAGCCGCAGTCCCGGGCCGCGAGGCAGCCGCAGCCCCGAGCCGTGAGGCAGCCGGCAAGCCGCGAGGCAGCCGCAGCGGCGAGCCGCAAGGCAGCCGCAGTCCCGAGCCGCGAGGCAGCCGCAGTCGTGAGCCGCGAGGCAGCCGCAGCGGCGAGCCGCAAGGCAGCCGCAGTCCCGAGCCGCGAGGCAGCCGCAGTCGTGAGCCGCGAGGCAGCCGCAGCGGCGAGCCGCTCGCCTCGGCCGGACGGAGCCGGTTGTTTGGTTCTGATTAGCTGTGCCGGCCCTGCCCGCTGCCGGAGGCCGCGAGATATAAATCTGGGTCGGGTCCCGAACCGGCGACCGATGCGGCCGGGCGATACCGCCCCGAACAACACACCAATGACTCTAGATATAAGAACGCGGACGGGTTCTTAGCTGTCAGCTCAAAAGTTGCTCAATCAGCCTTATCGGCGTCGTTAAAAGAGTTGTGTAACGGATTTCTCTCTGACATAATGGAGGCCACCTGCTGAACTATGTGGGAGCTTTAGAACTTTAATTCCGCTCAGCAGTACAACGTCTCTACTTTGCCTCACAATTAGGCTGCAACTGCTGGTGGGTGCGGCATTGTGTCCCAATGTTTGACAAGTGTGCTCACAGAGGGATCAAATTGATTTTGCAACATGTCATGCTTTTGCAGAAATGTGTGTGCATGCAGGCTGTCGTTCTGTAAACAACATGTGCTGTACGCTGTGCATAATGGCATGCAACTGTGCGGTTTCATTCCTGTCGTGTAGTAGCAAATACCGTCACCGTATAATATCGTACCCGGTTGGATATTGGCTATCCGCAGACCCCAGTCACCGTTTGCAAGCGCTGAACCACCTGATCGAATTTGCAACTTCGTTGTCACTGGGTCACCGTTGTCGAGGCATAATGGCGCAGCATTATGCAACATTGCACAGTGTTATAGTTACAATAGCGTATTATCGCGTCCGACAAGTCTCTCGGTTTGTACCGACTTTGCGTGAGCTATTCTCAGCCTTCAGCGCAGAAAAAATACCAGTCCAATTAGTTGACTAGGTTAATTACACCGAGGCCGCAGGCGAAGCGAGTCTTAATTGGCTGTTGGATACTTCCACTTTAGAGGACCGGTCCGGGTTGATTCGGCCAAAATCCTTGCTGCAACCAATATAACTGCAACCACCGATGGCAGCTTCATGCATTTTTCAGCGCAAAAAACGCGATTATGTGAGGCTGCGTAAATTTTCAGACATTGCAGCAATCTGCTTCATCAATCGCGATTTTCCTACATCGTTGCAAGACGACGATAGAATAGAGCCGTGTTCACTCGACCAGCATGGGAAACGTAACATTTGTGGACAGAATGTGTGTGAACCGAGCATATCCCATTTGATTACCATGAACTGTGTGGAATTTGTGATCAGAAAAGATGTGAGCAAAATCTAAAAACTTCCTTTCCGACCAACAATGGGGACGTGACACCAGCTCAATGTAAAAAAGACTGCACAAAACAGCTGGAAACTGGCCTTAGACATTTACAACCCGGCGTCACGGCGAAAGCATACCGCCACTATTCGGCAGCGGGGAGAATGGACAAGCGTGACGTCATTACCGCGGGTCGGCGCGTGCAGCCGGTCTCGTTCGTTCGGACACAAACCCGCGATCAGCCGCCTTTGGGCAATTTCAAGGACTGATGTCGGACCTCGGCGAACGGAGCGCTATTGAAGGCGTGGAACGAGCTGTACGGTAGGGGCGAATGCGGCGCCCACAGATGACGTGGGTAGTTCGATGCCGCCTGGCCCGTAGGCGTGTCGCCGTAACCGACCGGGGAACTGCCAACGTCGTCGTTTTCGAAACCTGTTCCGAGCACAGCACGATGCGCAACAAACACAGGTGATTTGGAAAGTGAAAATGCACAGGCCACAGGCGATTCTCTGCTTCAGTAACAAACATCTACTCAAAACACTGTCGTTTCTAGCAGTGCTTCGCTCTCTCTCTCTCTCTCTCAGTCACCTTTTCTGTAACAGACAGCAAAGGCATCGGCGTCGACGTTCTCGTGCCCTTTAACATCGGTCCCCGAAAACGTCAACATCTCCGTTGCGCAGAGGGCAAGAATCTCGACCTTCGTGACGTCCGTATCTGGACGCAAATGTAACGGCCTGCACCTAGTTGATATGCAGCGCCCATGGCCGACGTAGCATATCCACCTTTGTTAAATTATTTACATTCCACTTTACAGCTCACGTCTGGCCGCAACTTTCATAGCTGGGGCCACAATGAGCAAAACGCTCTTCAACGCACAAGCCAACAAAGTCAGGCAAACAAGCGGCAAACAGGCTCCTTCAGGTTACGTGCAGTGTGCTCTTACCGCATGCTAATTGCGAAGGTAACACATGATCCGCTTTCTATCTGAGTGGGTCCTCGATCGCACATTCAACGCCCGAACGCGGCTGGAAAGGGTGCGCTCCCGCGAACAAGCCCAGCTGATTGGCCGGCAAACAGCTTTCTTTTGAAGGTAGATGACGTAAACTTTACCTCGACTCCACAAACCTCGGTTCACACATTCACGTCAACACAACATTTACACAGTTTGGTCATTTTCTGGGATGGAAATGGAATGAGATCTCCAGCAAAGGCCGACCAGAGGTTCGACGGATAATCCCATTTGGGCGTGCTGTAACTGCCATCTACCGTTCGCACGACAACGTTTAGTGCATAGATTCCGCAGAACACAGGTGGCGCTTTACTTGGCGAAACACGTTGACTGCTGTAGTAGTGATGCGTGCACGCAATACTACCCCAGGCAACACGCCCAGAACGTGTCATCTAAGGTGCGATAAAACTCAATTATGAACTTAAAGAGTTTGAGTCCGGGTTCAGCCCTCTTAACCTGAACATGGACCCGACTGGCCCAAGCCGTCATCGACCGCGCGTAGAGATCATCTAATTGCGAGTGAGGCAGTACCACATCGTAACCACGCTGAGCCGAGCAAGCCGAGCGGGACTTAAATAACCAGTTATTTCCAGCGGCCCGGCCAGGCTAGTGACGCTTTTGACGGAATTACGTTTTTGCGAACACCGATCGCATCGCCATAAATTTTTCGGCCACAAGTTGCCTGGTCCTTTAAAACTGTGCCGTGATATTTACAAGGCTTTTGCATGCAGACTCTTTGATCATAGCAAATTTTGGTGTGGTGTTACATTATCGCCACTATGCCATTTCCTCGTCCAATTAACATGGGAAAATTAAAGCTTCCGAGTGGGAGAAAAATCATGAACGCGAATGGGAAACCGGTCCAGGTCTTGGCGGCTAGGAGGCGTGGCGACATGGGACCAACGTACACTGATTGATGATGAAATGAACAGCCTTACCAGCAAAAAGGCGGACCAAGATATGTGATATACAATCATGCTCAAAAAACGAATCCATCCGTTGTTGGGCATTTTTCACACGCTGGCGGCTGGGGTTCAATTGACCCCCCCCCCCCCCAGAAGGTTTTCCAAAATACTTTTCAGATGGCACAGTGTAGCCGTGAAAATTTTGCATGGATGTAGACAATTAAATAGCGGATCATTTGGCATAAAAAATTGTATATACCTTGTAAGGATCGCTGACCCACGGCAGGTCAAAGTCAGACCACAGATTCAGCGAAATTCGAGTGTTAGACGAAGCCATACATTTCTAAAATACTTTCGTATGCAACACAACAATTGAATGAACAGATTTCATTGACCTTGGGTCAAGTATGAAGGTTAGACCAAGGCCAAAATCAGCCTGTTTTATTAGCATAGAGTTTGCAGTATGTGGTAGTTTCTGGTGCTGATATTGAGTTTATTGATTACAGGAGCTGCATGAAGCATCGTCCATGTACTTCTTTAAGGTCAGAAAAGGTCACTGACCTAGAATAACCCAGGTCAGTATTCTGTTTTCATGAGCATGCTGTCTAGCGTAATCTTTGTCGCATATTCAAAAGGAAATCTCTGGGCAGTCTTGTATGATTTTGATCACCACGACCTTCGAAAGGTTAAGCAAGGTCACTGACCTCAAATGAACATGTTGACTTTTACTTAGAATATATATTAAGTTCTGGGGCGACTTTGGAGACCAACGTGCAGTTTGAGCTATTTGACCTTATTGAACTTGAAGATCATGACCTAGGAGCCACAAACTTTGATCTAAGTGAGTTCACGTACATACCAATACACCCTGTGAATTTGGTATCTACAGTTCTCTTAGTTCCTGAGATCTCAGGAGGTCAAATTGACCCCTACACGAGCGAAAGGTATCCAAGCGACTACGCACGCGCGTCTTAAGGATCCGCCGATCTCGACCACCAGAGCAGGCGAAAGCGTTTACTGTTAGGCAATGTTAAACCATGCTTATGCGGTGTAGCTGCACACGCGCGCGCGCGCGCGCGCACACACACACACACACATACACACACACACACACACACACACACACACACACACACACACACACACACACACACACACACACACACACACACACACACACACACACACACACACACACACACACACACACACCATTCTCTCAGAAACCCACAGACAATTCACTGCGTTCTTAATCGATACAGACAAGCCCCTAGCTGTCGCTTTCGCTTTGAACTTTCGATCCGGTCACAAAAACGCACCCCACTTGAACGGCATCCTCTTCGTCATCCAATCCCCTCGCAGGCCCAATGTTCCAGCTCAGGTCATTCCGAAGTGTGTGTCGGGGATCTCAGAGGGACGGGGTTCGACTCCCCGCGGAGCCCGCCTTTACTGCCAGGGTGAGAGACGGGCGACACCATATAGCCAGAGTAGCTGAGTGTGCCGTAAGGCCTCAGTGATGACGACGACGGCGAAACTCGTGTGCGGAGTGAAATATTGATGCTAAGTTATTGATGCTAGTTAAGAATCTTCGCCTTCTAAGCTCACCAACAGGGATATCATAACGCAACAATCAGTTCAATCCCTATGAGTTCTGAAAAAACAACGGACTCCACTGCCTTAAGCTTAGGTATTATCTGCATGGTGATAATGATCACGCTTATCACCTCGTCCATTCTTTGTCATATGAGGTATCTTAATGGTAAACTAAAAGGGTATCGTGTAAATCGTGTTTCTACACAAGCGCAGAGCTACATTCCTCAACAACAGAACACTCGTTGCCCTCGGTAGGATCCTGGTGGTCTCCTCCGATCCAGCTGTCACTGAACAGCCTCCGAACTATCAGAAATATCAACAAACAAACAATGCTGAGAACAGTTAGTGTGGCAAAGCTGCTACACCGAGTATGTTCTAACGGTACGCTGCTTTCCATGGAAGTTGGTGTTGCTGCTGTTATAAAAACGGTGTGCCGACAGTGCTCCTGACACAAGTGCTGCTAACGACAGAACTTCTACGGCACGACTTCTACACACCATTACTTTCCAACACAAGAACTTCTAATGCATTAACTTCTCGGCGACAAAACTTCTAGCATAAGAACTTCCACACGACGATGCTTTTGCGCGACAAAAGGTATATCACAAAAACTTCTGCGTGTCATCACGTCAGATGGAAGAACTTCTAACACATAGACTGCCACGCAAAAATTTTTAGCGCAAACTTCTACACGAAATTCCTTCCAGGCGACAAAATGTTTAATGCAAAACTCACGTAAAGATATTTGCGATAGAAGTCATGTCGTGGAAATTTGGTAGTCAATTCAATGGAAAAGGGGCCTGCAGTTTGTCACCGAGGGTCAGTGGGCGAGGTGTTCAAGTCCCTGTCGAAGAAAAGTCCCAGCGTACCAACGTAATTATGGAAATTCGATATCGTTTGCATGAGCTCCACGACAGAAGCTCTAACGCAATTACTGCTAACTTCCACAACCTCGCAGTAATTGCGTTGGAAGTTTAGTCGTGGATTTCGCACAAACGATATCGAATTTCTATAATCACGGTAACACGGTGGAACTATTTTTCGACTGGGGCTTAACCGTCTCGTCCACTGACCCTCAGTGACAACCCGGGAGTCCCTTCGGTTGAAATTGGACGTAACATGCATATATTATATATATCCATGCGAGTAATACCTTCTTCAACATTTGAGGTAGTTTAGCGTAGTCATCTCTCACACCGATCGCCGCGACGACAAAACAACTCTTGGCTTGGAGCCATGATCGAACCCCACGCCTTCCCGCGGACGGCCCTGATGCGAACACGCTCCCCCTGCTGCCAGCCGTACGCCAGCCCCGACCAGGACTGACTTATCGCACCCACGAGCCGGCAGTGGCAGCTCGGGGTTCCCCTCCCACTGGGACTGGCCGCACCTCCCCCATCAACTCTCAGTGACAGCCAGTGTCCTCTGTGTTCAGCCTCAGGCCCCGGGACCCATGGCGTGTTTGTGAGCGCTGCGAACGCCTCTGCTGGCAGCTGGCACCGCCGGCGTCCCGAACTATCCGTCCCCGACGAGCCGCGCGCCAGTTATCTGTTGGCTCCGGTCGGCGGCGGCGGAGACGCGCGACTCGCACCACCCGAGCAGGGCAGTTACGTCGCCGTCTCGTCCGGCACGAGCAGGTGGGCTCCTCGGCCGTCCCACTCGGGCCGAGCAGACGAGTTAACCCGCCCTTTCACCCGCTCCGAGAAGGTGTGTTATCTCTACAACAGGTACTACCCCTCCCCCTGTTATCCCCCCCCCTGCACAGATGCTTTACCCGCCCCTCACCCAGCCCAAACAGGTGATTCGCTGCGTCCTTCCACCAGAGCCAGAGCGGGGCGGTTGATTTACCTACCCCGTTCTCTCACCCGATGCGCTCAGGCGAGCATCGCATTCCACTGTAGGACGATGTGCAGGTTTGTCGGGCGGTGTTTGGGTGGCAGATGGCGCGTTTTGAACGCGCTTATTGGCTGAAGTCGGGAGAATGATCCGCTCAGATGCGAGCCTCGCGCCGTGCGCCAGCCGCAAGGTATTTTTGCAGCGGGTGTTGTGCGGGGCGCGCCTATTTCCTCGGAGCGGAACGTCAGTGGCGGCGGAAAGAAACTCCCATTAACGCCCCAACGTCCCAGTAAAAAAACGGCCAAGATAACAATTTCGTATTGAGCGACGGCAGAGGTGAATTGCCACGGAATGACAGCCAGGTGTAACGCCCGGCAGGTCGGGACACTTCTGCGTATCGATGCTGTGTCTTTGGTGCATCATAAGCCGCAGATCAAAGTCATCCGATCAGAAGTCTTTAGAAGATCTATTGCTTGCACATGAGGATGCTGGGTGTTGAAGGATAAAAATTACGTTTGCAATAACATTGTTTGCTTCCTATGAATCGACGTGGGAGCGTCCGCTGCTGTACTGTGAAACGTGTGATCTGATTGGTCCTGGCATCAGAAGTCGGCGTATCAAGACTAATGTAAGCGACTGTATTGCAGACAGTGACCCTCTTTCCACAAGCTGATTCGGCTCGAGTGATCTGACGCGTTAGTCGTCTGTTGGGATTTACTAACAAGTGCCGGGGATCAAGCCATGTTTGCCACGTGCGGTGGGTGGGACGGCCGGCACGCCATGATGCAACGCAGGGCTGCATAACACCATGGAACGTTCAGACGGGCGGCGTAACATGCCCACAGGCTCCCTTGTTTGACCCAATCCGACTACATTTATGTTCTCTGCGTAGCATGAAGTGAAAATTATCGGCATCGAGCATTGCCGCCCCAACTGAAGCAGGCATCTTTTAGCTGAGAAAGTACGTTTGGGCACGTGTGTACACACATTTCTCCTTCTGTTCGTACATACATTCTCCATTCTCTTCATACAGCTCTGCAGGTTGCCAGAGCAGCGAGCCCGCCCGCCCGAAACTAAGCTGGATCGGCTCCTCATTGGTAATCTGTACTTGCGTCAGTTTAACGAACGACTGCATCTGAACACCGCCGAAGCCATGAGCCGCCTTGAAGCCAGACAAACCCTCCGCCCCACGTGCGCTCCACCAAGTGTCCCGGTGACCTGGTCGTGACTGTGCCGACAGGCTGCAGCCGTGACACGTGCCGCCCGTCTCGTGGCACGTGACGCCCGTCTCCGCCGGCCGGAGGGTCGCCATGGCCCAGCAAGGGGACGGCGGAGGCGGCAGTCCTCCAGCGGCGGCGCCTCAGCCGACTTCACCGGTCGACTACCCGGCCCTGCTCCGGCTGTTCCAGTGTCCAGTGTGCAACGACTACCTGCGTCCCCCCATCCCCCAGTGCAAGAAGGGCCACACGATGTGTGAAAAGTGCCGCCCGGCCGTGAAGGGCATCTGCCCGCTCTGCAAGCAGGCCGTGGCCAACCAGACTAACATCATGATGGAGAAGATGTGCGCCCTCATCAAGTTCCCCTGTGGCCACGCCGGAAAGGTATGCGTCACACGCGCGCGGTGTGCTCAGGTCTGGCGATCGTGTCGGATTTGGATATTCTGGTCACTGCAGGTGACATTAAGTATCGTATGTGATCATGTCGTGGTCCATGGCTTCGTACGTTCCCGCCATGGTCTCCTAAAGCATTTTACGCACCTCACACAACCACGCGTCTCCTGAGATTTCTCGACTTGAAGTCATCTATCAGAGATGAGACGCGAAGCTCAGCGTTGGCCCGTCTGAAGAGATGCTAGAAGGCACATTTAATCCCACCGATGGTCAAACTCAGCCGTGATACCATGTCAAGCCCAGCTGTGAGGCTTAGCAAACCATGTGATATGCAACATGTTACCTACCATACAGATATCAGGCAGACAGCACCAACACTAAAGCTAATGGCGCCAGACGCCTCTGGAAACCATCTTACGAGATGGGATCCAACGGAGGCCATCGGCGCAATCCTGAGATTATCGGCGCATTCGTCATTCCCGCCTTTCATGAAAGCTCAGCACGTTCACCAGCATCTTCGTCACATTTTCACCGGTAGCGTTTGCGCGCCAATTCATAAGCAACATTCATCGGAAAATCGTTTGGCAGTGGAGGTGCAAGACTGCGAACCAGGCTGGTCGCCACATCCCGGTACTTTGATGTTCAGTTCTGGTGAACGCTTAGATCAGGCCGGCGAAATTTTCCGGAAATTTTGCAACCAGAGGAACTTGGGTACATACAGTCAACTGTCGAACTAGTCTGGGACAATTGCCACCCCCATTACCTTGTTATTTCGACGATATTGAGGAATTCCGTTAAGTTACGTAACGTCTATTCGTAATTCGTTTTCGTATTCGTAATGTGATTCGCGATCTTTCGACGGCAAGCGCTTCACCTGCAGCAGACAGCCTCATTCTGTCTTTGCCTGCCCCGGTCGCTGAGGTCTGATGCATCTCCGAAACAATGATCCCGAGACCAACTGTTCGCTTTACGGCATGCACTTGAATCCACACGGCATGACGCACACAGTGACGCGCATCTACGCGCCAATACAATTGTCCGTTTTTGCCCAGTTATCTTATGTTATCCCGTGTTGATGCGGCACTACCTTGTCAAGATCTGCGCCTGTTCCTAAACCGCGTTGAGTAGGTTCTCTCGGTCTACAATTCAGAAAAGGTCAAATTTGGGTGATATCACCATGCTGCGAAAATACCTTGCCTGATGATGCAACTTACGCCTGTACGGATGCATTAGAACATCGAAGCAAAACGCTTAGCGAATTGTGCCAATCCGTTAAACGTTTTGTCGTAGCATGACGCTACGACCAATACGGGTGCAGAATGAAGCCAGCCCTCAAGAGCGTAAACATCAGGAGTGGGCTCCTGAAACTAGACAACTTCCGCTCGATGACGTCACGAGGGGCTCGGCCAATGACATCCTTCTAAACTAGTGTGATTTGCCTGCAGGGCATATGGCGTGGCAATTTTCGGTGTTAGCACTGCTAGAATGAGTTGCTGGATCACGTGTGTGTGTGAGAGACACGGAGGCGAGAGCTCCGGCCTGAGTGCAACTGAGCTCCACACAAGTTTAGAGAGCAAAGTGTGTCAAAGTGTGGAAAGAAGAGTCCAGGAATCTCTGAGTCTGGGAACCGCTGAGCTAGCCAGCGGTGCAGAAATGCGGGTGATCGCTGCATGATCCTATCATTTAAAGGGAGTATGCTGACTTTTTATATTTGTCATTTATTGTTAGGCTAGACGAGTCCAAGCTGATCTGCGATCCCAATTGTCTCTAAATCAGTCTGAACAACTCCGCATTTCGATTTGAAGTAGCCGCTCCAGCGGCAGAAATCTCATTGGACTCCCTGCTCATCGTTTTGAAAGCGATGCACTAATTTTGCAAAATGCTTGAGCAAGAGATGCTGCGAAGCCCATAAACACGCATGAAGTCCGTGAAGTTTCTGAATTCCATACGGAATCACATGCTGAGTTGGAAACCGAGGCACGTACCGCCGCGTGACGCCCTGAGTCACGTGGCATGCTCTTATTCTCACCACGTGATGCTACGAGTCATGTGGTGAGATGCATATCATTCATCCCGACTCCACTGAGTTTTCCGGTGACATAAACAGGAACACTCGCCAGCCCGCTAAATGGTCAGCGTGCGGAAGGGCGCGTAGAGCGACGAACTCGGTGACGGGGTGCAGAGAGGAGTTGCCACCAGGTCAAAGTCTTCTCCACTTGGGCACGCTGTACGTGAGGTGGGATGGGTATCAGTCGTCACATCAGAGTATAATAAGGTCTATAATGACCTACTGATTCAGATCAACCAATGCGCTTCTCGGTGGTTGGCCTTCGTCGCCCGCTGTACCAATCACAAGCTTTCATTCGTGTGACGTCATTCATACCAGAAGAAGTGCTTTTTGAGCTGGCAGACCCGCCATGTGCAAGTTAAAATAGCTCATAAATGGCTACCCCTAGTCCGTAACAGCTAACGACGTCCGTTAGCAGGTTCCTTCGTCATCATAATGACGGCAGTTGTGACGGCGGCGGTCGCGACAACTGCAGTTGTCGCCCACTATTGATACTATCTTAGTCTGCCAAGCAAGAAATAAGTACAGTGCTGTGACAGAATGTTGGCAACGTAATTTGGGCTCGAAAATAATCAAAATCAATCTCCCAGTGATATAATTAGACGTGACCGATTCTGAGGTTTCACCAGAATATGCTTTTTGAAATATGCTCGAAAGGTGGGACGCTCCCTCGTCGGGAATCCAGGCAACGCCGCGTTTATGCCGCAGTGGGGTGTCGCACCGTGCACAAGGCTCGCCTCCTGGATCCCACAGCGTGCGGTCTGCTTTCGTTGCAGGGCTGCGCGGAGCTGGTGCCGCTGCGCGAGAAGCCACACCACGAAGCTGTCTGCGACTTCCGGCCAATCCACTGCGAGTACGCCCGCAACGGGTGCGGCACCGTGCTCTGCCTGCTGGAGATGCCCGGCCACGTGCGCCAGTGTCACTTCCGACCCCACTGAGTGTAGTCGCGGCGCCGCGGGGCCGCGCGGCGCGCGGACCGGCGCCCGGCGTCGTCCGTCGCCCGCGGCAGCCGCGTGCGGGATGGTGGTCCGTTTACAGCTGGTTCCGTCGTAGCAGGTGAGCTTCCGGCTTCGATGAGTGGGCGATGCCACCTGATGGGGACAGGGCGCTGTGTCTGGTGGCTGCTTGGGAAGAGCGCTGAGCTAGCCGAGTGCGACACTGCGGCGCGTGTTGGGTGGTCCTGGCACCGTAACAGGCAGGGTGAGAACGATCCCCTTAGAGCCGAGGGGCGGAGTACAGCAGACGCGCTGCTTGGGTAGGCTGGTGGCAAGAGCGCGCCGCGGAGTCAGCGGGACGTCATCGGAGAAGGTCGCCAACAGCATTGTGTCTTAGGCGGGCACATGGTGAAGACACGCCAACGAGAGTAGAAGCAGCTGCCAGTGAGGGAGACAACGATAGCCGCTAGAGATCAATGGTTCCAGTCTGTGTGAGTTTAGGTGCGAATGTGGGATGGTTTTGGAGACCCCGAGGCAGTGAGGCTTGAAAGCAGTTAATCAAAACTAGTTATGGTGGGAATATATAAGCTGTTTTCCTTAGCTCAGCATGTCAGAATAGGTCACACTGACATAATTTTTCGTAACTTTCTTTGTACTTGAACGTCACGCCTATAACTGTGACTTTAAGTGCGCTCCATGATCAGCTCGCCATCTACATGTGTTTCTCGCCAGAAGTCAGTTGGGAGATCTTATGTTGGGCTAGTTCTTACTCAGTGCAAAGTAGGGACGTTGCCACCGGCAGTGACAAATTTCTCCGGAATAGTCGCTGCGATGCGATAGTGATCAGCTGTCGCGGTGCATTTCGACTGTAGACCACAAAGGGTCAAGGTCCCGCATCTGCAGGGCGCTTGAGAGACAACGGCCATACGAGACACTGTGTTTCATTCAGTGCTCTGCTTGTCGCGACGTGCACTTGTTCCTCGGCATTATCGTATGAATACACAGGTGCTGCACTAGCACGACCCCAGTGGCTGTTTTCCTTTTGTTAATGCGCCTGTCGAAGTCGCCTGTGATTGGATGAAGTAAACGTGACTAAGTGGCAGACCGATACCCAGCCTTCGCCATATAGGCAAATATATATATTTCCCACGCGATTTTTCAAACGCGTCGAGTTCCGACGGACTCTGTACATAACACCTGTCCTGACGTATTACTCTGGCACCACATCTGTCAGCGAAAAAATTCGCCCCTCTCAGCTTCCCATTACATCGCAAAAGAACACGGGCATCCACATAGAGAGGCCCCACCCCGAACCATGCGCGGCCCAGCCGACCAGGACCTATTTCAAGAGCAAATCACTTCGGATGGGGATTTGGGTCAGCCGGATTCTGAATATGACATAATCTAAAATCTGCGTATTTCGCCGACCTTGCTGTGATGTCGAAACTTGCAGACAACTTCCACTTTCCATGTGTTGTTTTAGTTAGAGCCGAGTGAGCTTTGTTAGAACCAAGTTTGGACTCCGGACTGCAGAATAGTAGGTCGGCCGCAACACGGATGAGCAAAACATTTCTGTGCACGCTGGACTCCGCGTTCAAACGCGGTTGCCATTGATACACTATCTACAAAAATGTAGTTCTGTCTGTACGTGCGTATGTCTTCTTTTGCTTTTTTGAACGGATTAAACAGATGGTAATAAAAGCCTGAAATTTTCACAGCAGGCATGTGCAAGAGCGACGAGTGCGCACGCGTGCCGACGACTCGGTACGGGTCCGATCAGCGGCTTACGGTCGGTCAGCGGGGTGGGGAGGTTCGCTTTCAAACCCAAAAGGGCCGCTATGATCATATGCGTGGTGAAACAGGTCGAGCGGTAGTCAAGCCATAGATCAGATATTCACTTTGTTGCGCGGGCAGTGACTAATCTTGGGATCCCTATTTGTAGGAGAATGCCGATGTACATGCATAGCGAATAGCGCCGGTGCACAAAATGTGGAATCGCAGACTGAGGACAACCGTGGGGACTAAATGTGCAGACAACTTATGCAGCACTACTTGCCACTATCGGAAACGCCGCAGGAAGTGAGCACTCGACAAGCTGCGCATTGTGTATCAGGCTGAAATTGCGCGGCATCGAAGCATTGCTGCAGTGGAAAGATAGTCAGAAATACAGCGACGAAGTTAGAGACATGACTGGCCTGTGCTTTCGGCATACAAAAGAAAGCACGGCTGATAACCAACCGACCACCGAGCACAGACTGTTGCTTGAACTTTGCACTGGCGCATTTGCACGCCTCGACATAAAAGGCTTTGCCCGTTTCGTTAAATATGCATTCCAGTGCTAACAGCCCGCACTGCAAACTTTGGAAGTGCTTCAACGATGTTTTGTAGCCATTCAGCAAGCGTCCTCAGCAAGCGATGAGTTAGCGCCTTTGTTTTGGCCGTGATGAGTCGGCGGCGGAGGCATGATTTTAGTTTCATGCTCTGTTAGATGCCAGTGTCAATCATTGTGCACAGACGGGGGCGTACGCGCAAAGAAGACCCAGGGGCACTTGTCCCCCTTTACCAAATTAATGACATGCACAGGCATGCACGTGACTAAATGTTGTCAGCTGAAAGTTCCAGATGGGCACGTAAAATAAGATCGGAACATCGGATGCTATTTCACCGCACGCGAGCATTTCTGCACGCCTGCGGCACGCGGAGTCAGGTTTTCAGTGAGCATATTCCAGTTGTGATCCCAGCGTGGGGCGCGTAAAAGCAAGCCGTACTTTTGGGGTCATCGCAAAAGTCAGGATGACATGATTCCGTTCGCTTTTGCCACCGATCCAAAGGCGTGCATGGCGGCTTTACGAAGATTGTTTAGGTGCATGTGTGTGTCCATTAAGATCCCAACACAACACATTGGCCGCGTTCAATGATGATGGGTAAATAGAGGCTTGCGTTGCGTTGCACAGACCGTGATCCGCCGCGCTGTAAAAAAGATTGTTCGACAGCACATCACACGACAGCAACAATGAGTAAGCACGGGCGGCGAAAGCGAGGGGAGATGCATGGGAAGCTGTCCCCATTCACTCCCCGTCGCTAAAAAAAAAACAACTGTTGTAGCAAGTGTTGAGTGAGTGAGGTAAGAGCAGTCAGCTGAAACCCGGATCCACAAAATCTAAACCGTGCAGTATGACGCTGCATGAAAAGAAACGATGACAAATCACGTTTGCCTCCAGAATCCCTCGGTGGATTCGTCGTCACCGGAAGTAATTTGACTGACAGATCCCAGGGGCCAACCGGCGGACAGATCGCAGGGATCGGCAGACCGACAGATCCCAGGGGCCGACGGACAGACAGATCCCAGCGGTCGACAGACCGACAGATCCCAGGATAATATGACAGATCTCAATTGCAGTCACAAGTCACTTGCGTAATATCACCTTTGCCACGTTCAAAACTACACATTTTGCGTTAACTCACCAGTTGGATTCGCCTTTTTACGCGGTGTGCCCTATCTTCCCCGTGGTCACAACTGTCCATGAAATTGAGCCGATCAGAATGAAATCCAGCAGAAGCATCACAAACATGAAAAGCACCTGTTAGTCACATCCTCGCCCAAATTGTGGCGCACATTTATGCTAATTAAATTCCCGATGACAGACTTGGGATGATAAAAATAAGATGGAAAGCATTCGATGTCATTTTAGGGCACTGGGTTCATTTTGCGGACCTATCTGTCTGTCTGACCTGTGTGACGTTTCAAAAGCGACTTTTCGCTCAGTTTTTCCTGTATAAGAACAGCCGCCTCACCCTAGAATGCCTGGCCCCCTTACAGAATTTATGCATCCACCGCGACTCCCATCTTTACCTGAGCCGTTTCAAAGTCCTTGTGGGACGTGAGCTGCCCGCGCGGCAAGGTTTCCACGGAGAGAAGAGGGATTTCGCGACTTGCTGAGTGGGGGAAACTCAACATTTACCGCTAGGGATCATCTCCCCCACCGCACTTGGCGTGTTAAAATAGTCGCTGCGGCCGACTGATCACGGCGACAGCGGGCGCCGACAAGGCGGGGCGGGTCGGCCGCCGCCGTCGTGCCGCCCCGCCGCCGCGCCAAACGCCCCCTGCCGGCCGTGGCCCGTGTCAGCCACGCCGGCGGCGCCGCAACGCATCTGCCGAGGGACGTATCCGTGTCAATACCAAGGTCGCGTCAGGCCGGGACGCCGGTGGCGCCGCCGGCGGACGGCTGCTGCGGTCCCGCGGGTGCGCTATCAGTGACAGCGCGTCACTCAGAGCGACGCGTTTCTGCGGCCACGCGACGCGGCAAGGGGCCGGCCGGGGCCGCCAAGAGCGGCCCCGCCGCGAACGACGGCTGCACGGACGGACGAACCCCGGGGAGGGCGCAGGGCCGGCGCCGGGGGACGGCTGCGCGCAGGCGGCGCTGGCAGGGACGTCCGCGTAAGGGCGGCGCCAGGAGACGTCGGCGCAATGGCGGCGCCAGCAGGGACCTCGCACGGGCGACGCCAGGAGGGGCGTCGGGACAGAAGCAGAACCGGCGAGAGTGCCAGAAAGTGAAAAACCAACCGCACTGGGCATGCGTCGGCTCCAAAGCACACACAGATGACTTGATCTCTAACTCGAGGCGCCCTCGTCTCGGTGTGATCCAGGGCGTATTTCGTTGGCCGATGGCGACCTATTTATGAGACCAGTAAAAGCAAACAAAGTGGCCAAACGGTCAGCAGAATTGGCCAGGACGGCAGGACAAGACCTACAGCTTACAGGCAGCACAGCCTCATGCTCATCCATGAATAGATGGCACTGTTCGCCCCACACACGCCGGTGAATGTCCATTTTTGAAGTGTGCTAATGAGGTGCTCCTTCCGATGGGCCGTCAGAAGCGACAGTATTTTGCCCGTCGCCGCCTGGGGCTGGCCGCCATGACAAGGGCGACAATAAACGTCAACAGCAAATATGCGGTGAATGTTGGCTTGCCGGTCCTGGTCTAAAGATACCTGGGAGTACCAGATCCTGCCGTGAATGTGTCGACCGTCGGCGATCTGCACTTTGGCAGTGCTCCAGCCGCGGCCAGCAGGCGTCCGGTCTCACACCACGGGGACGGCGTGCGGTCGGCCGGCGTGACCCACATGGGGCGATGTCACGGAAGATCATGAGAGGGACCGTTCTGGTCAGCCCGGCAGAGGAACTTTACCCAAGACGTCTGCGATGCGATCGAGTTTTGAGAGTCCGTTCCTTTCATGCATCACCATTGATCTAATCTTAATCTGTGACACACTCAGGATGGTGCTGTCCTTCCTAAAACAAAAACATAGTTCCGCTCCCGGGTCAGATCCGTTCAAAGCAGTCACATTAAGTCGCACTTTACCATTAGCACTATTATCGGCAAGCTAGGACACCATAAGACCCGGGAAGCGAAGACACCATGAGAAGCGGTCGCACGGTGTCGTCTGAGGGTCTGTAAGACACCAGGACGTGACAGGACAGCATTCGAGCATTGAAATGACGCCGATAACATGAAGCGCGCTTGCACTTTGCGGCAACCAACTCGCCATCGGAATAAGGAGCCGTCCACGCGACCGTGCACTAGCCCGCGCGCGTGGAGCCCCACCGATTCCGCTACATCGCCTGCCCCGGCGGTGCACTGGACCCAGAATGCTGGCCTGACGCGACCACACGAGACAGCGGCTCCACGGGACGCGCGGCCACACCGGGTCCGCCGCGAAGCTGCCATCGGCAGTTATCGGCAGCATAGCTGGGCGCTGACGCGTGCCCGCGGCTGGCGGCGAACGCTGCCCCGCCTTCGCGGAGCCGGTGCATCACCGATGAGCCAAGTATCTCGGACCTGGTGCGGACGGCCCTGGCGGGACAACGGGCCCGCTCGGATGGCCGACGCAGGGACAACAGGCCCGCTCGGATGGCCGACGCAGGGACAACAGGCCCGCTCGGGTGGCTGACGCAGGGACAACAGGCCCGCTCGGATGGCCGACGCAGGGACAACAGGCCCGCTCGGATGGCCCACGCAGGGACAACAGACACACCCGGATGACCCGCGCTGGACCAGCGACACGTTGCTCCCTAGAAAACGCCTGACGGCGGGCGTGATACCGTCTGCCAGTTTTCTCTGCGTGCCTGGAGGCACTTTGTCTCGGCTTTGCATGCCACTCAGGCACGTCTGTCCAAAAGCCTGGGTCCGAATGAATATAACGGTCATCAAGCGGAACCCCTTATATTTCATTAACTAAGGTCCAGGCGTCGCTTCGTTCAGGTCCGTCCCGCATAAACACCGTGATCACGTGTGACTCTGAAACGACGATGGTTACAAAACAGACGCTCAGCGGCAGTAGCGGAATCATGGCGCAACTGGCGTCGCACTTGGTTGGACGACAGTCCACCACCGTCCAGCGCGCGCATGCTATAGGATCACAGCCTGATACATGCGGATTCACATGCCACATGAGGCATGTCACCGCAGCTGATGTCGGCACACAGCAGCACGTGCCAGTCTACGGCGCCGTGCTCACGCCATCGGCACAGGAGTCGGCACTGGTACCAGTCAGCCCACATGCAGTTGCTTGAAGGCGGCCCTCCGTGTCCAACCCCCTCTCACCCACGTCCTGACCATGAGCGTCACGTCCCGGCGGGCCGATCTCAGCAGGCGCCAGGGAGGCGGCTGGGGTCTGAGCGTGACGCGCGCCAGCTCCGACGCTCCCACGTCCGACCCCAGCCCGGGAGGCTGCGCCGCCGCACCGGCCCGTCGCGTCATCCTCTCCAGGTCTCCCCTCCCGGCCCGCCGAGCCGCAGCCGCCCGCCTCCCAGCGGCGCTGTCCGTGTCGGTCATCCCTCACGGGCTGACATCTCGGCCAACAGTCCATCACCATCGAGCTGACATATCGCGGCAGTCTCCTGAATTCCACCCCGAGTCAGCCGCTTACGAAAAACAAGCACCTGTCACAGCACCCGTCCGCACCACCTGAGGCTAGCGCTCACCGGCCGGCGGCCGCCGCCTCCGCGCCAGCTCTGCGCTCTCGCCCGCGTCCGCGTCGCGTTCGGACTTCACCACCACCGGTCGCGACCGCGGCGGGGGTCCGGCGCCGCCGCTGCCGTCGCCGTCGTCTTCGGATTTCCCCCTCGGCCGTCGTGACCGCCGCCTCGGAGGTTGCCCCACGCTCTCGGTCGGGGCGAAGTCGTCCTCGGCCAGCGGTGGCAGTCCCCGCCGCCGCGCCGGCGCCTTGCCCGCGGTCGCGCCCGCGAAGGACTCCTGCTCCACCACGGCCCCCGCGCCGGGCTCCTGCCTCACCACGGCCCCCGCGCCGGGCTCCTGCCTCACCACGGCCCCCGCGCCGAGCTCCTGCCTCACCACAGGCCCCCGCGCCGGGCTCCTGCCTCACCACGGCCCCCGCGCCAGGCTCCTGCTTCACCACGGCTCCCGCGCCGGGCTCCTGCTTCACCACAGCCCCCGAGCAGGGCTCCTGCTTCACCACGGCCCCCGAGCAGGGCTCCAGCTTCACCACGGCCCGCCGTCGCCGCGGCTCCACCCCACCCCCTTCCGCGTCCGCGTCGCTCTCGCACTTAACCCTCGCCAGCGTCCGCTCCTCGCACACCCGCGCACTCTCCGCCGCGTCCCGGTCACCCTCGCGCTTGGCGCGCGCCGCGACGCGCCGCCGCTTCGCCTCTGACGGCCCGGCCGCACCCTCGGCGCGCGCCACCGCCACGGCGGGCGTGCTGGAGCCGGAGCCGGAGCCCGACTCGTTGGCGGCGGCGTCGCGTGCCGGCCGCCGCGGCCCCTCCTCCTCCACGGAGTCGGCGTCGGCCGGCTCGCGCTTCATGGCGCCGGCCAGCCGCGCCAGCAGCGCGTCGCGCTCGCCAAGCAACCGCTGCAGCGTGCGCTGGTTGTGCATCAGCCGGTCCTCGAACCAGCGCACCAGCGGTAGCGTGAGCAGACCAAGCGTCTGCGTGGTGTTGCGCACGAGCACTGCGGCAGAGGCGGGCACGGTCGCTCGGAGTGCGCACAGGGGGGGGGGAGGGGGGGGGGAACACAGGGCGCAAGCACACATGGTAACGAACTACTGGGTACGGCCGCACAGCAGAAGGGACAAAACAACGAAAGAACTTCGCACGGGAGGTATGACACGCGTGGGTGATTTGCGGACGGCACAGCGCTGGGCGCAGAGCATTCTAAACTGAATCCCTACCAACCCGGCTGCGTCCCCTTGCCCGTTCACGAGGAAGGCACAGACAGCTGGCCGGGCCCGTCTCAGTACCTGCCTGGTTGTGCATCTCCGTCAGGGTGTCACCCTCGGTGGCCGCGCGGACGGCGTCGAAGGCGGTGACCTCCTCCTCGCAGAGCGTCTCCGGCAGCCGGACCAACGCCTGTCGGCCCACCGGCCGTCAGAGCCGACCATCGGCCCGCGGCGCCGCACGCGCCGGCCAGCCGGTCAGAGGGCAGCGGCGGGTGCGTCCACCGCGAGCGGGGCCGCGACGGGCTCAGTCACACCAGGGAGCGCGCGGGTGGGCGGGTGCGCCCGCCGCGAGCGGGGCCGCGACGGGCTCAGTCGCACCAGGCAGCGGGCGGGTGGGCGGGTGCGCCCGCCGCGAGCGGGGCCGCGACGGGCTCAGTCACACCAGGGAGCGGGCGGGTGGGCGGGTGCGCCCGCCGCGAGCGGGGCCGCGACGGGCTCAGTCGCACCAGCAGCGGGCGGGTGGGCGGGTGCGCCCGCCGCGAGCGGGGCCGCGACGGGCTCAGTCGCACCAGGGAGCGGGCGGGTGGGCGGGGGCGCCCGCCGCGAGCGGGGCCGCGACGGGCTCAGTCGCACCAGGGAGCGGGCGGGTGGGCGGGTGCGTCCACCGCAAGCGGGGCCGCGACGGGCTCAGTCGCACCAGGGAGCGGGCGGGTGGGCGGGTGCGCCCGCCGCGAGCGGGGCCGCGACGGGCTCAGTCGCACCAGGGAGCGGGCGGGTGGGCGGGTGCGCCCGCCGCGAGCGGGGCCGCGACGGGCTCAGTCGCACCAGGGAGCGGGCGGGTGGGCGGGTGCGCCCGCCGCGAGCGGGGCCGCGACGGGCTCAGTCGCACCAGGGAGCGGGCGAGTGGGCGGGTGCGCCCGCCGCGAGCGGGGCCGCGACGGGCTCAGTCGTACCAGGCAGCGGGCGGGTGCGTCCGCCGCGAGCGGGGCCGCGACGGGCTCAGTCGCACCAGGGAGCGGGCGGGTGGGTGGGTGCGTCCGCCGCGAGCGGGGCCGCGACGGGCTCAGTCACACCAGGCGGGCGCGGTGGGTGGGTGCGCCCGCCGCGAGCGGGGCCGCGACGGGCTCAGTCACACCAGGCAGCGGGCGGGTGCGTCCGCCGCGAGTGGGGCCGCGACGGGCTCAGTCGCACCAGGCAGCGGGCGGGTGCGTCCGCCGCGAGTGGGGCCGCGACGGGCTCAGTCTCACCAGGGGCGCGCGGGAAGTGGCCAGTTCTGCAGGTTCTGGGACAGCGCGGCACGATCAGAATTATCCCTAGGTTAATGTGATATAAACAGCTGCATGGAAATCGAGTCGCAATTGCAATGCAATTGCGGCACATTTCTGTAACGAATGAAAACCTGGTCTACGGCGCGGCACTTCGCCTTACCAGTAATAACGCTGCATCTTTTTATGATTTTTGCTTCGGCTCACAGCACCAAAACGAGGCAGCCTTTAACGTCAAGATGTAGGTAGGTTTCGACATCGTGCAAACGTCTCCCTTCCATAAGCGGCACGCTACAGCCAAAACTTTCTAAACCAATTGCGCACAAAGAACGAACGGTTGGCAAAAATACCAGTGTCGTAAGCCCAGAGACCGTGGAACTTTGTACCACATAAGTAAAACCTTCTTATGGCAGATCCAATCCCACGAGTTTGACGCATCCAACGATCGCGACCCCTCCTTCCTCAAGCCGGCACCATCTGACACCATCTGGCGCCAGCCGGCACTACCTGACACCATCTGGCGCCAGCCGGCACCATCTGACACCATCTGGCGCCAGCCGGCACCATCTGACACCATCTGGCGCCAGCGGCACCATCTGACACCAGCGGCACCGCTCGGCCGGCGGCGGCTCACCTTCAGACAGTGGGCCGCCAACGTGCGCGTGGACTCGATGCGGAGCGGTATATCGCGTCGCTTCAGCTCACCGCCAGCCTCGCGCGCCGACTGGAAACAGGCCGCCTGCACCCGCTCGCCGCCCTGCCGGCACCGACGGCTCAGCCGAGCACGACGCCGGCCGACCGCCCCGCCGGCACCGCGACCGCGCGCCAGGGCGGTGTGACGTCACACGGCCGGCCGGGGCCGAACAGCTGCGGCCGCGAAGGCGGCGCTAGCTGCGCAGGCGGGACTGGCACCCAACGGCACCTTGGCGTTTTACCCCATACAACGCAAAAGAGCATTACAGACAATGGGCCACACAGGGAGCTATAAAATCATACCTTACTGGAAATGAAGACAAAAACTTATTCCAAAGAGCGGTTTTTGGTTACAAAAAATCCAGGATAACAGCAATGCTAGGACTTTTGCGCTTCGTACCGTACCGTAACGCTGTGGACCAAAACAAACCAATAGTTTAAAGCACCATTCGGTGGGGCATTCCTGCCACAGGACTATAACTTTCAAGAACCCGACTTAATAGAATAATTGTAGCGTCAAGAACAAACCCCGGCAAAAAGTGGGAAAAAAAGAAAAAGAAAAAAGCAGTGCAAGAATGCAGAGGACCCAGCAGGTTTCCAAACACTGACTCCTTAAGCAAGGCCAACCTTTTAAAGGAGAGCGGCCAGGGACTGACTGGCCGCATGTGCCGAAATGGTCCATATTAAGGCATTAAGACAAACCATCACCGTGCATGCGTGAGACCAGCTCTTGGGCAGCAGCCATTTGTTCGACGCATGTGACCCACCTGTCGGTTCGGGAATACCGAGAATATCACGCCGGCAAAGCCCCTGTCCATCGTCTGGAACGATTCCTGCGTGTTGATGTCTGAAGGCCGGGCGGGCGGGGTCAGCCACCCCTCGACAGCGATCGAAGCGCCATCTACGCGGTTCACATACGGCCCGTGCCGCGCACACATAACGTACATAGCCCACACAGTGCACCACCGGACACATGCTAAAGCAGCTTCGCTAGTTCGCGCTCCAGCGGAGCCGCACCAGCGCCGACAGAGGGCGGCGCGTACCTACGACGGACGGCCAGACGGTGATGTGCGGGTGCGAGTGGTACCAGCCGACCACGCGCACTGTGCGGCCCAGCTCGGCGGCCAGCCGCTCGGCCTCGCGCGCCGCCGACAGCAGCTGCGGCGTCGAGATCTCCACCCGGTCCTTGCGCTTGTCGGAGCGCACCAGCACCATGGCCGAGCACACCCGGCATACGTCCTCCGAGTCCAGCTGGAACGCACGGGGGGCGTTCGTCGGCGACACGTCGGGTGCACCTGCTCAGATCTCAGAGTGGTGCCTGCAGCAACGCCGTGGATATCTACAGATAAAAGCTCTCAGTGCCTGATGGCAGGCTACCAACCAAAATGATCAATGTCACGAGATTATTTTCAACATCCGCTCACATTTCCACATCCGAACCGAAGTCATTTCCGCGTGTATTTGCCGTCACAGCCGACCACTGTCTCGCTGGCATCCATCAACCTCCTCTCTAACGTCCGTGCGCGCCGAGGCTGACGGCCGGCGCTTTGTTGAGCCCACGGTACCGCGCTGTGGCGGCAGGCTGCCCACAGGTCCCCGCAGCCGCCAGGTCATGGGGCGCCGCCACCGATACCTCGGCCGGGGGTGGTTATCGTACGTCGAACGTCGCTCACTCGGGCGCTTTACCATTACGGAGGTGAGAGGGCCACGGGTCACCTGTCAGCGAGGACGACTGACAAGCGACGACTGTGAGATCTGAACAGCATGGCCCGTTCAGCACTGATTTTTACTGGATTTGTTGTGTTAGCATCTCAGTTTGCGGTACTATACGATTCGGTCCCATAAGGCCCAATGCAAAACGTAAAATAACGAACGAAAAAAGCAACAAGCCAAACGGTACATGTTAACAAGGCGAAAATGCTTCCACGGGTAATGTTTAGCAGTTATCATGATAAGCCTGACGAGAAACGCTGCGCCCTGTCCGCTTGTTTGCTTTCCGCGAACTTTTACATTAAATGCCTGTTGAACGCCAGCGCCAGCGCTAGCTCTTTCTACACTGGCGTGGAAAGGGCTAGTACAAGCTCCTCAGGGAGAATACTGCTCTGGCTTGTCAGATAGCCTAACACCAATAATTCCAACTTCTGACAAAGCAAACTAAACCTAGCACATCAATATCATATCAGAGTAATAAAACTCCTCAGAACAATCATCTCCAAGGCATAAAAAACAATATTCATAGCTAAAATACTCAAATAAAATACTCAAATCATTTATCGCTCTGCCGACACTGAAGTCGTCATTTGATACTTACATCTCCTAGGAGGAGACCCATCACTTCTAAGCTCTCCGTGGAGAGAGCATGGGTCAAACATACGAAATAGGCATCCGATGATATTCGTAACTCGCGCAGACTCATCTTTGCTTGGTCCAATGTCTGTTCGAAATCTGCAATGACACAGCTGTGATCATTTAGAGCAATGGGTTATCTATTTTGATGATGAATTGAGTAAGGCTGGATGGAAACAGTCAAATGTGATCCAAATAGATCAGAAGTTAGTGCACATAGACACATCTCTCAAAATTTGAGAACCACTTGCAACTTATGTGCTGGCTTCTGCACTATCTGACTTACTCAATTAACATTAATTTCTATACCTCATGAGTCCCCCCCCCCCCCCCAGAAAGTGATTAAAGTGATATGCCAGATATTCCCAGGCAGAAGTCAAATGAGCAAAGTACCAAAAGGAGAAGGCCTGCATGCACAAATGCAAGTGCATGCATGCACATGAGCAACTATGAAATGCAAAAAAAACATTTTCACACACCAGGTGTGCACCACAATGACAAAGCAAGGCCAGCCTACATGATAGCCTACTACCACACTGAAACATGCACATGCTTTGATCATACATCCAATGACAGACATTCCAGACATACATCAGTCAAGCTGCATTCAGAAGACATGAGGAAAACAAGATGCTGTAAAAGGTAATATTAGTGTCAAGGCCTTGCATGGAAAAGCAGCTTGCTTCACAGACTAACTGCATGAGCTGTGCACCAAACAGCTGTGATGTCTATATGTCAAACAGACCTGAAACTTGGTGGCTTCCTGAATATTCTGCCAGCATGTATGCTCCAAACTTTAAGGCCCAGGCCCATTCAAAGGAAGTTGTACATAATTCATGCTTACAAATTGAGTGTCATGGCAAGATAAGCAGCATTCCACATGACATGAGGTCTGAATTTTTTAAGCAAGACTTTCAGATTGTAACCAAGCCTATATGAATGCATAGGCCTCTCCACTGGTATTACTGTAACTACTGTTACTTGCCATGATATTCATCATAGGCTTCTCTCCTAACTACTGCAGCTGTCTATGATCAATGGTATGAAAATAACTGCAGGAGATTGGGGAAGCAGGTGTAGGAACATCTAATTTTCCTAGCCTTAAATGTTGTTTGGATAGTTTTTGATAACCTACAGCCACTGCATTAAGATCAGTATGCATCCACACAGCATAATTATGCTTATAGTAGCCCTGCCTTGCAGTATTGCTCAGACACCCAACACACATGCACACACACATGCACATACCTTGCAAAGTTGTGGGACTTAAGGCCATGATTCCACATTGTGTAGAAAAGATTATGATCATCAGTTTAACAGCACCTGCCTGTTACTCAATACATTACCTTCCAAAATTCCATTGGACTGAAAGGGCTATAATCTAGTCCAGATCCTGGTGGCTGCATTCAAGTTATCATGTCCAGGCCATGCCTTTCCATTTTTGTTGTTTGCAGTTATCACATCTTAAAGAAATTATCTCCCATACATTATATATTTATTGATATTGAGTACCTATTTACAATTATCCACCTACTATACTTGGAAATAACCTGAGGAAGTTTGTGTCAATTTTTGGTCCAGAACAGTAAGCATTTCCTGATCTTGATCTGTGGAAGCTTGGAGAGCACTTACTGGTGGCAAATACAATTTGTATGCCTGCACCATACCTTAAGGTGAGTATCACAACCCTCAAGCAGCCCAAACAGATCAAGGGGGTCAACCAAATCACCAATCTTCCTCCCCAAAGCTGAGAGTTTGGGCATTAATGACTTAAGACTCATGAGACAAGAAAGAAACCCAATGAGCGGATGAAAACCAAGAGTTTGGAATTTGCCCCCCATGCCGGCCTCCGACCCCCCCCCTCGCCCACCAAGGCAACGTTTTTTATCCGCCCTTTTATCCACTGGCAGTGCTGAGCTCAACTTACAAACCACCGAAAAATCCCAACCTCATCACACCAGAACACAGAATGTGGGTACCAGCATGAGGCAACTGGGCATCACAAACCTCGCAACACGCGCGCGACCTGCACGCCTCAACGTACCAGATTAGTTCTCAGATTGGCCGCCAGGGGACAAATAATTCCCAGTTCCCGCGTCAGGTAATGTAGTCGCGGTCCAACATCCCTGAGATAAGGTGTTTGAAACTAAGGTGAGCTATCACACATTATCTGCGACTTCGAACCTTAATATCTTATCTAGTTCTTTGAGCAACGATCGTCCCCTGTTTCCTCAATGTGATGAAACCAAAAACTCCTTGCATGCGATCGAACGTACCGCAGGCATGCGAATAAGTACAACCAGTAAGCATTGTAATGAAATATATCGGTTTGATGCTAACTACCGTCGATGGGCAAACGACGCAGAAACGACACCATTTCTTGACACCCGCTGTTCTTTACAGGCGTCCCGCAGTGCCGTGGCCATGGTACACGCCCACCCAGGATCGAAATTCGCATAGACCGACGATTCTACGACGAACGGCCCAGTCCACAACAGTTCTAGCTCATTCGAGCACACACACGACTAAAACTCCAATTCTCTATACACAAAATGGAAATGCTGACAATACTAGCCTGCGTGCCAAATGGTACGAGCGGTACGATTAATTCGGTACTATTAATTTGAACGGTAGGTGACGCTGCAGAAGCCGCCCAGGTGGCGTCACTGTGCCGGTGTCACGCCGTTACGCAGTGCTGTGCAATCACGCAGTCCGCGCGGACGTCGCATGCCGGAGGCGGCAGGTAGCCGCACATGTCTAGGAACGCGGGGAACCGTGCGTTTCGCAGGCAGCCATAAAAACTCTACTTTCCAAAAATGCTGAGCCTTAACTCAATGACACCACCTTGAAAGAACTGACTCCAATATTACTTTTGAATATCCACTTTTAAGGGGTTTCACCACCTTCGGCTGGGTTCACATATCAGTCGTTTGAAAAGTGTTCCACCACACCGAAGTGGGTGCCGTTATGACCGTTGCGTTTCCACGTTTCTCTGACTTTAAAAGCGACCACCAAGCGAGCGCTCTCCCCACATCTCAGCCTCCGTCAGCCTCGGGAGCCGTGAGGACGTGCTGCAGACACCTGGGCAGCAGCGCAGGCAGCTGCTGCTAGTGGATGGCTTAGGTGGATGTGAATGTGTGGAGAGTGGATGTGCAGGTCACTTCTTGCACACATAAGGCGAGTAGCTCTTAGCTGAGGCCCCTGCAGCACAGCATAGTGGGAAGAAATTTAAGGTACCATTCACATCCAGCATGTATTTACAGGATACATGAGTGGTCAGTGAACAAGACTTCAGCCCATTTTCATCATGATACATGTGGTGCAATTTATGGTGCAATGGGCATGATGTTCTACCCATTAACATGTAACAAAGGAGAACTCAGCATCACATGTGAACATCAAGAAGATCCCCAATGATGTGCTAGTTCACTGAAACATATCAGACCAAGCATAAAACAATCATCTTTCTTCCCTTGATCTTTTCACCTATCTTTTGTCATCCTTCTCATGCTTTACATGGTGATCATGTCTTCTGTGCTTGTGGTTGTCATCTCTTCTTCTGCCCCCTCTGTCCCTCTCTGGTGACCTGGTGCTGGATGGTGCATCACTTCTTCTCTTCTTCCTATCAGGTGACCTGCCATTGTTAGGTGATTCATCACTTCTGCTTTGTGCCTTTCTCACAGACCTATCCTTTTGGGCATGTCTGGATGATCTGCTGTTGCTTCCAGGAGAACTGTGTCTCTCTCTCTTTACTTGTTCAGCATTTTGCCTACCATGTTTCCTTTTCCTTGAACTGCTGTTGTGTGCTGAATCATAACTAGATGAACTGCTGTTACTTTCTGGTGTATGATGCCTTCTCTCCCTTCCCTCATTTCCATCCTTCTGCTTTCTGTGCCTGGATGAGACTTTCTTGTCATCTGAACTTTGCTTTGCTGACCTTTCCATCTCATCATTGTGCCTCACATGACTTTTGGTGTGGCCTGTGCCATGTTCCTTATCATCAGTTACTGATGAGCAGTATTTTTTCTTGTGCTCTTGAGTCGTTTTTGATTTTCTCTGAATGCTCTTCTTGTGACTTTTCTCCTCTTTGGTTGTTTTGCCTTTCCTTTCACTGTCATCACTCTCTGAACTTGAATCTGATTCAGATGAAGCCCTTTTTGACTTTGTCTTTTTCTTTTTCTTATGCTTCCTTTTCTTCTTCTTTTCGAGCTTGACCAGTTTTTTTAGCAACTTGAGTTTTTGCTTTTGAGACAAAGACCTGATGAACTGCATTTCTTCAGTCTCCTCTTGGTCTGCCTTTTCATCATCAGGAACAAGCTGATGGACAGGAATAGGGGCAGTTCCCTCAACAACTCCTGCCTTCAAAGCAAGACCACCATCTCGCATGCCTCTCATCAGCTCAAGTGGGTCAGTGGATGTTGTTGGGTTTGTTAGCTCCCATGGAGCAGTATATAACTCACACTCCTTATCAGTGTTGATGTGACCCCACTTCTTGCACTTGATGCACCTGACATTCCTGACCTGGATCCCAAATGGTTGATCCCTTATAGTGTCATCATCTTTTGACAAATAGCTTTCTCTAGGCCCATTATACTTCCTTTGCCATTCAAACTTGAACTCAGGCTCACCATCTTCTCTTTCACGCTCCTTTTTCATCCCGGCAGGTGGTTCATACATGAAATTCAAGCTCAGTTTCTCTTTATTTTCCCCTTTGGCGAGAAGAGCTTTGTTATTGTAAAGTTCCTGCTCCTTGTCATACTGAGATTTCAGTTCCTCCTGCTTTTTCTTTTCAGCATCTGTTTTCTGCTGGGCCATCCATACTCTTTTTAAATTGTCAATGGACCCAGGGTGGAAGAACTTCTTACACATAAAATTGTTAAAACCTTTCCCCATGCTTGAGTGTGGGTGGTTGCAACACTAGGATCACGGGATGCGTGCAAACGACCTTGACCTGTACACAAGACGCGGTACTCCGAAGCCAGCGAGATGTACCTGTTGAATACAATCACTTGAACAGAATTCACCAGTGCCACTTTTTCACCCGATACATCAGACTCTGGAACAACCACGAATTAGACAGCACCTTGTGTTAACACTGTTGGAACGTAAAGCTTTGGCTGGCATTGAAACAATCCCGTCATATTTGTCGACCACGGGCAAGTGTACGCCACAAAAATGAAAACATGTCACCACTCTCATGCATTATTGCATTGTCCGTTCGCTCTATGCAATACTGTATCAAAATTCAACATTTGAGGCAAAAGACGCCTGCTGCACATGATATCAAATTGTAATATTTGAACCCTTTTCTCTCATAATTTTAGTATTGCATTAATGAAAAAGTGGAATCTTCCGTTGATTTCGGTGTCCTTCGGAGCTTCAGACACGAAGCTCCTCACTCCAAAGGAAAATTCGCCGGTTTACAGGATGATACAAAATTCAACGCATTCAGTTCCCACTGCCCCCAGCAAAAAAGAAAAACACAAGCGAAACGCGGGCGAAGCATATCTCCAGAGCACGGTTCGTACGCTGAGTTTTTACTCTCCTGGCACCATTCTTTTACAGCTTCCCTCAGTTAGATTCGTAACATGGTCGGTGAAAGCAAATTCTCAGTCATTATATCAACACATCGCATCGCATTATTCAGAGATTCCTGGCGTCTAATGTAGGCAAATCAGCATAACATTAAAGTGATAAATCAATTTTCAAACTGGGCTCAGAAAATAAGTCGCAGGTCAGGCGTCCTTCATTCCACACCTCGCAGTCAAAATAATACGGTTCGAGCCACCGTTAATTATTTGCGCCGTAAAATACCACACGCACACACATGCTTGGCCCCAGCGATGATACCACGCGACAAACAGCCATACCGAGACCGACCTGTGAACGGGACATACGAGCTTGATCCATCAACCACGCAATCTCTGACGGTCCAAGATTCATTCAGCACAGACAGCAATGCCGAACAACCCAAGCACGCACACCGGAGATGAAACGCATGAACAATTGTTTGTCAGTGATATGGATGAGCGATAAGAAAACTCTCAGTAGAGTCCACAGAACCCTACCGAGGCGCAACGTGATGTAGATTTTACGACCACTGGGTCTGTGTTCGACAGATCAGTAATGCAGCTTAAGACCACGTTTGTCGAGAACGCAAGCCGCGCATTAAGCAACCGAAACATCCACCAGTCTCAGCCGAGCGCGGAAAAACGTTCCCGGCAGCGGCAGTACAACCACACCAAACAGCTGAACACAAACAGCCCATCAGTTTGGGAGGTGAGCGTCTCGCGAACGTCACCAATAACGGCGCCGCAGTCTCACAGCACATCAGTCGGTCGCCGGCGGATGACACCCCGCGCCCGCCGGCGGCACCACGGACCCCAGTGTGGGGCCAGACCGTCACTAGAGGAAGCCCGGCGACTCTGCCGCCCACGAGGACCGATGCCGCGGGCGCGGCTCCTCCTCGGGGACCTCCTCCACCAGCGGCTCGTTAGCCTCGTCGTCCCAGACGAGTCGCGCGCAGTCCCAGCTGGCGCGGTGGGTTGGCGGCGGCGGCGGCGGCGCGCCCACCGACGGCCAGTCGTCGCGCGCCGGCCTCGCCCGCTTCTCGGCCGCCGCCGTCGGCGACAGCGCCATCGGCACGCCCGCGCCCAGCGACTCGAACTGTACCTCGAACGGCGGCTGCAGTACCGGCTGCGTGCGCCGCCGAACCGCCCGCTTTGCCGGCGGCGCCGCGACCAGCGGGTCACCCTCGGCCGGCGGCCGGTCGGCGGCGGGCTCGCTCAGCGGAGGCCGCGGTGCCTCCTTCGCCACAGGCCGCTTCTTCTTGGTGCTGAACTTGAGCAAGTTGGCTGCCACCATCTGGTCGTATAGCGGCTTGAGCGTGGCGAAGCGGTTGGCGCCGCGGCGAATGATCATCGGCGATGGGAGCGGGATCTTCATGGTGTTGCGGATGTAGCCGTAGCCGCGGCGCGACACCAGCTTCTTCAGCTCGATGGCGCGACGGATGTCCTCCTCGGTCCAGCGTGGCTTCTTGCCAGAGCGAATGACGCGCAGCTGCATCGGCGTGAAGATCTGCTCCAGGCCCTTCACGAGCAGCTCTCCGCGGCGCTTCTTCTTCTTGTCGCTCTTCTCGGCCTCGCGCGTCTTCAGCCGCCACTGCGAGCAGTTGGCGCTGCTCATGCTGCAGCGCCGCTCCAGCTGGCGGATGCGCAGCTCGCGGCTCTGCTCCTCCTTCTGCGCGAGCCGCTGCTGCCCGCGCACACCCGCCTTGAAACGCCGGTGCTCGGCGGTCACCTCCTGCAGGCGCAGCTCGCGGTACTTGACCTGGATGCGGCTGTACATCAGCGCCACCTGCAGCTCGAGCGTCTGAAGGCGGAGTGCGCTCACCGCCCGCCAGGCGGCCTCCGGCGTCAGCGGGCGCAGCGTGTCGGCGCTGAGCGGGTCCACGGGCGCCATGTACTGCTCGCGCTGGGGACGTTCCTCGCGCAGCGTCAGCAGCGGCCCGGTCGCCGCCGACTCCGGGATCTTTTCCGACCAGTCCGGATGCGCGTTGCGGAACTGCACCTTGGCCACCAGCTGCTGGTACGTGGTCTCCAGCTGCTGGATCTGCTGCCGCTTGGCGTTCACGTCTAGCATGTACTGCGTGAGGTGGCCGGCCGGCAGCTTGAGAGGTGGCGGCGCCGGCGGCGGCGGCGAGGCGCGCCGCGACAACGGCGGTCCGGCCCGGCCTCGCTCGGCGGCCGCGCGCCGGCGTCGCGCTCAGCGTGGGCGCCACCCGGCTGCGGCCTGGCAGGCTGGTGACCACGCGCACCGGACGCGCGTCGCGGTCGGCCGACGAGAGCACGCGGACCAGCGGCAGTCGGCGGCCGTCGCGGGTCACCTTGTCGATCTTGGTGCGCCTGCCACGGCCGCGGCCAGGCAGCGGCGTTCGCGACTGGCCTGTAGCTGGTGGTGAGGACTTGCTTAATGAGATGGTTGGCTTCCAGTCACTGCTCTCATCCTCACTGTGCTGCCAGAGATCCTCCTCCAACAAGTCCAAAGGCTGGTCATGGTTCTCAGTGTTGATGTTCTCATTCTGAAGATGACGGTCACAGGCACTGTTCTTGGTGTTGATGAAAGGCGGATGATCCGCAATGACCCTCAAATGACATTCATCCATCAGTAGTCTCCTGTCAGATGCTATCTATGTGTACCTTCCCAGGATCATGCACCTGCAAAGACCATAGGAGGCTGTGATTGGGTGTCACCAATGTACTTTTTATGTGGAATAAGTGTGAATGCTTTCCTCAAACCATTGATTTCAATGTCAGCTACCCCAGCTTTCACATATAACATGCATTTATATACTGCTTCTGTATTTGAGTATTCTTATGGCCATTCAAGAGCAAGTCTCTGCTCAAGTTATTTCAGACATCTTATGGAAACATGTACCATAACAATCAGCCAGTATGTCACGCTCCACCAATGTCAGTGCACAATACACAATGGCATGCTGGACATTATGGCTTGTGAAGTTAAAGCTTTGTCATAGTGATTATGTTCATCCAAGCTTTCAGTCATCATAAATATTATAAGCAAGCACTGCCATTGTTTACATTATCTCAACCACATTAACAGCTTTGTCATTGTCAATTTTGTTGAAATAATCTCCCTCCCTACCTACCTAACACCAATGGTCAGCAGCAAGACAAAACATCCCCAGCTGCCAGCACTACTTAACAACATAACCAGCCATTCCTGTTAAGAGCCTCCAATGAACCTGAGTCAGAGCATAGCTTAACCACATTTCATCCATAACAAGGGGGGTCATCAACCCACAACAAACTAGGAGAAGTGGTGCCTTAAATTGGTGTCCATCTACTAACACAGTACATACCTTTTGGCCAATTTGAGTCCATCCAATCTCCACAGGGTGGGGCTCATATCTACAATCCCCACAAACCGCCAAGGAGAAGGTCTTCTAATCTATTTTTTATCCAAAACATTAGCAAAAGAACACTTCAAAGAGTGTCAGTAATGAAACCAACTTCTGTCAATTCTTTCCAAGCATTGCCAAATGCTTAATGCCTAGCTTTCCTAGAAAACATGGGTACCATGGCACCCAGATGCCATCCAAAGATGTGATGTAACAAATAATGATGCATTCTTTTCATGTGTGGGAGCAGTTGATTATGATGGTTGCAAAGCTCGCCGCCTCTCGTCACTATGCTCGTTCACTAAAACAATTATCTGAGGCCTATGCTATTTAATGACAGGGAATTTAACTTACCGTAAACCCCGAAATACAGTATCTACCTACCCACACTCACTTCTCTGCCGCCCGTCCGACGCAGAATGCCAATCTCCCCTTTGCTACTGTCCCACACTGCTATCGTGCATGCCCCTGCTCTGACCCGAACCAATTTTGTTTGATATAGCTTACGCTGACGTGATTGACGCAGATAACACAAATGACAAAACTGTCCACAGCTAAATAATGAACGGCGGGGCATTGGGGCGCTTGCACCAATTGCATGATCAGTATGACGTATGCACTTATTCAGGACTCAGGGCAGGGATGTAGTTTATTTTTCATTTGAGAGGGCTTCAGCCCCCTCCCTCTCGACTGGGGCTTGAGTCCCTCCTGGCTTTGAGATAAAAGAGGTCCGAATCTGGTTAGAAACAAGTTTGCTGGCGTATTTTTGGGGATTTATTTCCTCATTTTTCACTGTTCAGGCCCCTAACCCATGGTGCGAAACTTAACCCCAAGGCTCAGGAACAGGGGTGCAACCAGGATTTCAGGGAGCGGGGGGAGGGCGGCAGAATTTATCAAATAGCGAGACGCATGGCGATATTTTTATTTCTTCCTTCCTTCTGTCCTGACCCACCTATGATGAAAAACGTAGAGAAATCTGGGCCTAAGAAAACAAGGCGGGCACCTGATCAGGAACCACCTTATCAATTTTCTCCAATTAACACTAGCCGGACTTTGGAAGCGGCCACATAGTTTGATTCAAGGGCGGGGTTTCGACAACATTAGTTGGAGGGGGGGGGGGGGGGGCGGCTGAACAGTGCAAATGACCCAACCTACGCCAAAAAACATACTTCTCCCAGATAGGCCCTCTTTTTTCCCAGAGTTGGGAAGGACTAGAGCCCAAGTTGGGTGGTCTAAAGCCCTCTAACTGAATTGAAAACTACATCCCTGGTTTGATCAGCCCTTCAGGAGGTGGTAAACCCGTTCCGGCGGTAAAATAACAAGCTGTGAAATTTGGAACGCATGTCCGTCACCTGTTGAACGCGTCAAGTTTTGATTGTTGCAGCGGCAAATTTGACTGCTGTAGCGTTGTCTGTAGATCCGGGGGTGATTTAGTTAAAAAACAGACAGAAAGCATTGTAGCTTCGGTGGGTAGGGGCACTCAATACATGCAGTCCCACTGTTAACTGGTCTTCAAGTTCTTGAAACTTTGTGCCGTACGGTAACGCCTTCGAAGGGGAATTAACTTAATCATCTTCTGGATCAGGTATGGCTGTTCAGGAACATGATTATAACATGCCCACAAATCGCTGCACAGACCTGATGTAACCTGGCAATCCACCAAGTGATGACTGATGACTATAGATTTTGAATGTGCATGGGTTTGCCGTGTCATGGCCGTGATCATTCCTTGATGGTCCTGGGCTTAGAATGTGGTGTGCCAGACTAAGTGCATGTTGCAAAACTGGGGGCTTGAAGCTTGACTGTGTTATCAGTTTTTGCTGATAAGATATGTGCATCATCCTAGACTTTTAGAGTTATTTTGGCCATTGGCTGCTTTGTGATTGCACATGAAATCCCTTATGTGCCCCAGGGTACCAGGGTACTAGGGCCCCAGGTGAGTTGGTACCAGTGGCCCAATGGCCACTGGTACCAACTCATATGATGTTTTTAAACCCATTTTTAAGGTGAATAAATTTGACACCTCCAGCCTGACATAACTCTGATGTCTGTTATTTAAGCTGATGCCCATACTCACATGCAGTGTTGGAAAAACTAATGCTGTCAAATTTTAATGTCCAGTTATTCTCTCTACTCTTTTGGTCTGGAATTTTAGCATTCTCTTGATATGGTCTATTGCATAATATCAATTTAAAAACTGCCATATTACTTTTTTTGGATAACAGCTGTAGCTGGCATACACAATATGGTATGTCAAGTTAATGTTCATTGCTTTTTGGGTTGTCATAATTTAACCATTGCACCTCATACAAATATTGTGCCCAATAGCATCCTGTGTGTTATTGGGGCTTTATGGCACACTCAGCTTCTGAAGCCACATGGATTATGGTGGCACCTGCCTTGTACTGGCAAAAAGGGCAGTGACTTCTAGCACAAGGTGTTTTCTTCTTAGTTCAACAACTTGAAACTAATAAAATGCTGGTTGTCATAAAATTGTCCTTTATTGAGGCAAAGCCATGCTGTGGTCATCCCACAGTCATCATTTCAGTGTTGCAGAGCTTGCTAGTAAAACAGTCGCTTCAATGCACATCTGGAAAACGAGAGCCACAGAGTTCCATTGTCCATGGTGCCGCCCTTCCTGCTGGGGTGAGAGGCATGCAACCTCATATAGCTTCAGCTGCTGATTGTGTCATAAAAACCATGTTGATGACCAGTGATGATCCATGTGTCACAGTACAGGACCTGTGTGTCTGTCTGTTGTACCCTGGCATTTACATGCCACATGCTGCACCCTGATAGCTTATCATATCTCCACAGACCACTGGCATGGCTACCGACACTGCTAGGGCACGGGCGGTTTGTTCATTGCATGCGTATCAGGGGGTGACGAAGCTGTCTTACTTGGAAGCTGGGTGGCGAGCGGCCGGAGAGGTGGGAGCTGCGCTTGGGCTGGCAGAGGTGACTCTGCTTGTGTATCGGCCCAGCTGGCCCCTCTCCTACACTCGCTGTTAAAGCGATATTGCTGGGGCTGGCAGGGGTGACTGCTTGTGTATCGGCCCAGCTGGCCCCTCTCCTACACTCGCTGTTTGAGCGGTGTGGCTGGAGTGAGGCTCGTGTCGCTGTGATCAGGATGAGGTGCAGAGCGTGAGGTGAGGCCTTTAGGTGCTTCTGGGCCAGTCCTGACCGCCCGAGGCTTTGAGCGGTGCTCCGTGTTTTTGGCACCAGTATGCAATAGGTTTATACATGCACCCAGGTGATGCGCAGTATAGTCCTTCCTTCGTTGGATGACGCAGCATGAGTGGCAGGAATGTCTGGCTCGTAACGTTAACGCTCTGTTATGCTACCGCCCGGATGTGACGAATCTATCAAAGTCAGACTCGTGGTGTAGGCCAGGAGGCTCTCGTAGTTGACCGCTTTGTGAAGGCAACTTAATGTCTCAAGGACAGGGTTCGCAAAACCAGGAACGCCTGGATGCGATGGGGTATACATTGGAAGCCTGCCAAATGGCGCTGACGACAGTTCCCTGTCCCCGAGCATGCAAGAGCAGTCATCTGGAGGCAAGAGCCTGCACTCGCGCGGCGATTTACAGGAGCTGTCCGTACGTTTAGCCACCGGTGAAGTCCCAGCGGGCACTGACGTAATGATCTTACATCGGTGATTGCGTATTGGACTCATTGTTTATGTGACCTATCGATGCGTTGGCTGAGCACGACAAGACAAGGTAGTGCAGATTGCGGCTGATCTGAAGGGCTGCGCTCAATGTATTTGGGTATTTTGTCCTGTTTGGAGTCTGAAAACACGTGGCAGTGGGGTCGAGGCTCTGGAACACAACCTTGGGAAGGACCACCAGGACAGGCTACTTTGCATTCAGCTTCAGAAACGTGGCAATCTGAGCGTGGTTGGACCAGAGTTCAGCTCGCACAGTTAGTAGGGTAGGCCGGCTGTCACCGGTGACACCGGCGGGCCGGCGCTCTCAGCGGGCGTGGGTGGTGGTGACGGATCGGCCGTCACAGCTGGTGACAGCGGCAGACTTGTTGGCCGTCACAGTATTGCGTAATGCTGCGGTCCAGCCGTCACAGTCTCGCGTAATGCTGCGGTCCAGCCGTCACAGCATCGCGTAATGCTGCGGTCCAGCTGCCACAGTCTCGCGTAATGCTGCGGTCCAGCCGTCACAGTCTCGCGCAATGCTGCGGTCCAGCCGTCACAGTCTCGCGCAATGCTGCGGTCCAGCCGTCACAGTCTCGCGCAATGCTGCGGTCCAGCCGTCACAGTCTCGCGCAATGCTGCGGTCCAGCCGTCGCAGTATCGCGTAATGCTGCGGTCCAGCCGTCACAGTCTCGCGTAATGCTGCGGTCCAGCCGTCACAGTCTCGCGCAATGCTGCGGTCCAGCCGTCACAGTCTCGCGCAATGCTGCGGTCCAGCCGTCGCAGTATCGCGTAATGCTGCGGTCCAGCCGTCACAGTCTCGCGCAATGCTGCGGTCCAGCCGTCGCAGTATCGCGTAATGCTGCGGTCCAGCCGTCACAGTCTCGCGCAATGCCGCGGTCCAGCCGTCACAGTCTCGCGCAATGCTGCGGTCCAGCCGTCACAGTCTCGCGCAATGCTGCGGTCCAGCCGTCACAGTCTCGCGCAATGCTGCGGTCCAGCCGTGACAGTATCGCGTAATGCTGCGGTCCAGCCGTGACAGTATCGCATAATGCTGCGGTCCAGCCGTCACAGTCTCGCGTAATGCTGCGGTCCAGCCGTCGCAGTATCGTGTGATTGCCGAGATTCGTTGCACAGAAACCTGTAGGCCGTAGTCCAGCTTTAGGACGCGCAACTAGTTTACTTCCCTGAAAGTGAGCAAACCACCCGCGACTTAAGTATTATGGTCCTACTCTTTTATTTCACTGGACTGCCACCTGATATTCCAATGGTCACGTTCAAAACAGTCAGTGGGCTTTTGGGTTATCACCATGAGATGCCCGTTTTTGTTTGCTTCTGTGCCTTTGTAGTGGCGCGTGTTCATAGTCCTGTTTTGCGTTACAGATCCTGCAGATTTTCCTATAACGTAAAGAATGGAAGTGGAACCAGAGGTGAAAAGGCTGAAGAGGATGTTTAAGGACCCAAATCCTCTATTCAGAACTTGGTTGACTGAGTGGAAAAATGAGGCGGAGAGCAAGGGCACCAAAATGAAATTTGTGTACGCAACGGTAAGTACCTTTGACACATTTTCGGTAGTGTATTTGCATTGTCTGCTAGCAGGGGAACAACATACATTTATATGCACAGTATGTGAGTCACGATCTCCATTTTTATCAATGCCATTGTTAAACATCATTGTGATCTCGCGTAGTCGATGCGTTCGATAACGCCTACTCAAGGTTATTAGTCCTGTCTCGGGATTAAACGTGTTGATATTGTACTATGAGCACTTGCCCTCCTGTGCCGTCACTAGTTGTGCCATGTGTGCAGCTGTTCACCCTCGAGCGCAGGGGTAGTCCGGGATGGTAGGTCACGGAGCAGGTACTCTCCTCGAATGTTGTCGGCGTTATACTTTGACCCTTTGACGCTGTCTGACCAAGGCGGTACACGACTAACGAATAATGTGAGACGCTCGTCAAATAGCCCGACCTTTCCAGCACCCAACATCTGCATTGCGCGTGTTATGCATCTGTTAAAAGCACATGAACATTTAAGTGTTCAGGTAAGCACAGTTGGCTGCAAGCTCAATGTAATAATCACTTTGCATACGCTTCTTGCCAGGTGTGCATTCTGAGAGCACAAATGGAATGACCTGCCTTTGATCCTTTTCAAACCTCGTTGGGGCCAGCCATCCGCTGTCTGTCTAAGCACCGCATTTTCCTAGCGCGTCAGTTAAAGACTAAGCCGTGAGGTTGCAGGCGCTGAAGTCGCTGCGCCAGTACCCGCTGCCGCTGACGTCCGGCAAGAGCTGCAACATCCTCAAGGGCTTCGGGACCGCGCTCTGCGCCCGGCTGGATCAGCGTCTGCAGCAGCACGTCGACAAGCACGGTACGGCCCAGCCCGGGGTCGCTGTTCCGGGGAGCCCCCTCCCCCTGCCCTCCCCCTGGCGGTCGTTTGTTGGACGTGGCGGCAGGCTACAGGAGCTGTGGTCGGACAAAGCGCTGCAGCAGCACACATCGGACGTGGTGTGGTGTACTACGACCGCTCCTGTCTGTGGTGTCCGGGTGGTGACGTGTCGGTGGTGCAGCGGCTGGTGCGGCGTTGTGACAGGGAGATCACGGAATAGCTGCGTGATGGTTGTTTGTCGCATGCTCGTGGATAAAGAGGCTGGCAGACTTCCGCGCTGGTTGGTCGCAGTTGAAGCCATGAACGTTCCGGACTGACGGGTCCGGATATATTCCGAAACGTTTGCGACTCAAGTAGACCGCTCGGCACTTGGCCCAGCGACGCCGCGGCAACACATGACGCCTGCAACACGGGCTTCTTGCTTTCCTAAGAACGTGATAGTTGGACGGCTTATGACCTGAAGGAGATGAGATCGCGACTAGAAAGCCTCGCGGAACACGAGACGTGTTGTCTGAGGCGCGGGATCGAGGGTTGAGGGCGAGGGCAGGTATTGTTGTCCTTTTGTCCCAGTTGGCCAAGGCCGCAAAGCGGAAACCAGTGGATAGCTTGGTGTCGGACGGGTCAATCACGTCCGGTTTACGTCACATCAAGTCACGTCCGGTTTATTTTCCGAGATCAATCACTGGCCTTCCAGTTCCGGTCAATCCCACCGCGTGGGAATGTGGAGTAGAGTGATCACGTCTTTTCTGAGCATAGGACGGCACCTTGAAGGCAAATGTGCATGTGAGGGTATCCTGGATAAGATTAAGTGCAAAGAAATGGTCCGAAACGAATCTGGGGCCAAGCCATACCGCCACTGGTCTAGGGTAGTTTTGTACTCCTGGTTTTATGTGGACTGTCACCATGCATTGGCATCGACAGCGAAAACACGAAAATGTTGTCAACATTACCGTGCAAGCCGTAATACTGGGATATGTGACACAGCTTTCTGATCTTGTATGACCTGAATTCAGTATTTGAGACGTGCCTAATAGACGCATGATCAGCTACGCAGAGTTACAGAGTCACCCTCACGTGCCGTTTTCCCGCTGTCTCACAAATCCCGCGTGGGCAAGGGGACGGCGCCCATTCCACCCTGCGAGGGCCAACCCGAGTGCACCCGTGTAACGTTGCAAAGGGCAGCTTGTGATATGAGTAGGATGTGAACTGGATTAGGGTGCAAGGTTTTTAGGTTGCACGCTTACAACGCTCTTCCGTTTAGAACTCACCGACCCGGCAATGGCCCGCCTAGTCATCCCGAGGATTCCCCCACAAATGCTGACTGCAAACGCTGAGTGGCCGGCTCCGGCAGATGGCGCCCGAAGTGCACGGCTCAAAACGGACAACACGGACGGCGAAGGGCCGCACGCTCGCAGACCACTGAAATCGCCTGGGTTCCGCTCCACATCCTTGTGTCCTCACTGCTGGCCTGGGGGTGCCGGCTTCGTCACGATGTCGCCCTGCACACGGCCCTGGCGTCACGACGCTCGCCGACGGCTCGGCGCCGGCGTCACTGTCGCTGGCCGCCCCGCCGGCCGTGTGTCGGGCGGCGTGGGCCGGCCGGGTACTGAACGGGACCGTCTGTCGTGCTCGCAGGCCCGCTGCCGGCCGCCGGCGTCACTGACCGGGTGGAGATCAACGGTGCCGGCCGGAGGAGGCAGAGCGGCGCCGCTCGGAGGGTGGACGACGGCACCCGCCGCAGGAAGAGGAAGCCGAGGACGCCGGCCCCGCCGCCGGCCCCGCCGCCGGCCCCGCCGGCCGTCGCTCCGCAAACGGTCAGGGGGTCCGCCCACCGTCCGCCGCCTGCTCGTGCTATCCCGGATGCTCCGCCCTGCCTCGGACGACCCGTATGCGACCGTTGCAAGGTCATGAAGGGATGATGCTCAGGCATGGCGTATAGGTCTTGTGACGTAGGAAGGCATCCAACGGGTGGTTTTGCCAAACAGTTCCAGGAATTCGCATGCATGTAAAAACAGCGTCATTGGCGTGCGTGTGCGCCCCCTCGCCTCGTGCGCCATCTGCCGAGTAACGGCGCCGTCGACTGACGCCATCTCCGCACCCGTTGACAGAACGGGAGGAAGTCGGCCGAGTACCGGCCGCGGCCCGGCTCCGGGGCGTTCGCCGTGCTGCTGACCCTGCGTCGGCACGAGCAGCAGCCCGGCAGCACCGGTGCGTCGCTCGTGCCCGCCCCGGCGGTACTGGCACGGCTCGCACTGTCCTGGGAGTCGCCGACGCACGCTCGCGCCGTCTCGCTGTCTGATGGGGGCCTGGGAGATGACGGAGTCTTCGTTGACTGGTGGTGACGTTATTTGAAAAAAGTCGTGCGACTCAGGAGGAGGTGGCGCGGTGATACCATAACCGAGATAGATGGGAGGTCACCAATCGTCGGTGCAAAATCCTGTCGTTGGGCGTTCGGCGTTCGAGACGCTTAGGATTTGCTGCTCATCCGTGCCTCCGTTGAATTCCAGTAGCGTTTCATACAAACCTTTAAGATACATCGGTGCACGCCTCTGCAGACACGCTCAATGCTGCCCCGTGCCACGCTGCACGTGCCGTTGATGTGCTGCTGCAGGGTTCCTCGAGAAGGGGGCGCTGCAGGAGCAGGCGCAGCCGCTGTGCTCGTCGTCGTTCACGCTGCCGGAGGCGGGCAGCTACTACACGGCCTGGAGCACCGTGTCGAGCCTGGTCAAGCGACGCCTGGTGCAGAGGCAGGGCTGCCCGGCCAGGTGAGGTCACTGCCGGGGGCGCCGGACTCGGGGTCGCTGTGGTCCGGCCGGGCCGCAGAGGTCAGGTCAGATCCGTGACGGTGTGGGCCAGGTCAGTCCACGGGTACTAGGGGCCAGGTCACACGAGGGGCGGCGGAGATGGAGTCAGACCAGGGTCGGCGTTGGTTGTTAGAAGGGGTGTTGGCGGTGCGGGGTTAGACTAGGGTGTTGGACGTGCGGAGGTAGACAGGTCCGGTCGGCTGACCGCTGGGTCGCGTCGGTAAGTTCCTGTGTCCAGTGAAGGCTGCTGCCGCCGGCAGGTTCAGCCTGAACAGACGACGGACGTCAGCTGGCCGACCGGCTTCAGGTGTCGCCCGCGGCCGTCCCCAGCCAGCGGGCTCGCTTCGACGGTCTGGAGGCGTCCCCAGCGCCCGTCCCCAGCCAGCGGGATCGCTTCGGCTGTCTGGGGGCGTCCCCGCCGCCCGTCTACAGCCAGCGGACCGGCTGTGACGGCCCGCGCCCACCGTCGGCGGTCGTCCCCAGCCAAGCCGGCCGGGCCTCCATGGGCGCAGTGTCTCCTGCGGCGTCGCCCCGCTCGCCGGCCGGCTCCACATCGGACCCAGGTACGCACTGGTCGCATCCGGCGGCCCTTCAAGCCGGCGTAGATCCGGCTGCACGTCCAATTACGGTGTCAGCACTTAGTCACGTCCGCTGCGCCCTCCCGTCTCGAGCGTCGCAGCCCCGCCTGTCACGTGCGCCCAGCCCGTCTGTCCACTGAGCCGTCGTCTGACGTGCAGGCGCGCCGCCGCCGCCGCCGCCGCTGCAGTACCAGTACATCTCCGACGGCGGTGCAGACGTCCGCGGCAAGGACGAGGCGGCGGTGCTGATCGACGACGAGTTCGTGGGCTTCCTGTGCCGGTGCCGGCGGCCGGCGCTGCTGGCGAGCGGCCGCCGGCACCGCGCCCACCCCTCCAGGTGTGTGCCGCGCGGCCGCGGGGACGACGCCAGCCGCCACCGGCGGTGGGCCGCGGAAGCGCGCCGGCTGGCTGTGGGCGTGTTTGTAGATGCGGCTAGCTGGTGCAGTGCGATGCGGTGATAGCTGACCAACCGCAAATCGGTGTGGTGCGAGCAACCAGGGGTGCCCGTTTGTTCGCTCCATCCGCGCGCCGCTGCTGCGTGCTCTGGCCCGCGTGACGCCGGCGTCCGGCCGCCGCAGGAGTGAGCGGGACGGCACGGCACACGTGTACCTGGAGGACGCTGCCTGCGCGGACGTGTGCCCGGGGCTGCCGCCGCCGCCGGCCGCCAGGCTCCTGCACGCGATGTCGGACAGCGACGATGGGGAGCGGCCGCCGGCGCCGCACTGCGACGCGCCGGAACGGCCGCGTCCTCCCGGCCTGGGCCGCGCCGCCGCGCCGGCCGCCCCGACGCACGAACCGATCGTGCTATCGGACGACGACGACGCTCCGCCGACGGAGCCGCCGTCTCCGCCCGCCCGGCCGGCGTCCCACACAGCGGCGTGGCCGGCGCCCCACATAGCGGAGCGGCCGGCGCCCCACACAGCGGCGCGGCCGGCGCCCGCCGTGTCCCCGGCCGGTTCTGCGGAGCGGGACGCGCGGCCGCCCTTGGTGCTCCAGCCGAACACCTTTGACGTCATGCTCTGCGTGGACAATCAGGAGACGTCTGGCAAGTGAGTGCACGTTGGACTGGCAGCCGCGCTGGCTGTAGGCGCTGCGAAACGCGTGGACACGCGCGTATCGCTCATATACGCCAGTTGTGCGCCGGTGTGAGTGGCATCTCGCGCTGCAGCGGCTTCGCTGTGTGTGGCTGGTGGCAGCGCGGTCACATTTGAGGAGAGCACAGTAACACCGGTGCTCTGCCTCCTGCCCTCTGTCGTGACGGTCGATCGCGTGTGCCGGTGAGCCGATCGCACCTGTCTCTGCCACGGTTAACCGCACGCACGGCACGTTTTCTCCCCATTCTCGTTGTCTTTGCACGAGTTAGTAGCGTCTTGAGTCGATATGACCGAGGGCGTGCAGGGACGTCCCGTGACGCCCTGACCGGTGATATTACCTTGGGCCGTATCTCGGCGCATGTCAGAACCTTCTAGGACGTCTTGGGACGCTTCTGACCGGTGACCTGACCCCAGGTCGGGTGCCTGGCGCCTGCCTGCGCACCTACCGGGACGTGGTGTTGGCCGAGCTGCAGAAGAACGGCGTGGTGGCGGACGTGCGTAAGCTCAGTGTGGGCGACTTCCTGTGGGTGGCGCGGCCACGCACCGGCCAGCAGGTGAGGGGACACGGCCGGCCGGCCTGCTGGCTGCCTCCTTCCCTCCCTTCCTCCCTTCATCCCTCCCTCCCTCCCTCCCTGGCGGCCACGTGCTGGGACGGTTGCTATGCGCGACAGTGCTGCGATGGTGGCTGGAGTTCTGTTGCGAATTTGGATGCAGCTGCAGATGCGTGCTGCGCATTTCTGAAAATTAGCGTTGGGTTTTGTTGCTCGTCACACCAATGTGCGCGGCTTAATGTGAGTGGCATGCTTGCGTGTTGTTCCAGAGCGTTTAGCCAGATTCCGGCCTTATGAATGTATTGTTCCCTGCTGACCGTGGATGCTGGAGGAAATTGAAACAAACACATTGCCAATTGTCAGGATTACAATCCAACGTCGACATGCCGTCTGCTGCTGGACGACTGGGTGCGTTGTCACCTCGCGGGCTCGCTTGAAGCGACAGTGAACCAACTTTGAATCCGTGCGATCCTGGACATGTTACGTCACGGTCAGCTGCCGCTGCTCCGCGCGCCCCCGGCCGGCACCGGCGCAGCCTGGCTGCCGGTGGAGCGTCGCCGTTGGCCGCTGTCCGAACGTGCCCGGTGGTGCGACCTGGACAGTGACCTTGTTGGACCTCTGATCTGACCAGACCGTGGCCTGACCTGACCTTTGACCCGGCCCAACCAGTGGTGCGACCTGATCAGTGATCTGAACCGTGACGACCTGACTTGCTTGTGACCTGATGTGACCTTGCCATGACCAGACCTGATCAGTGACATCCGCTGGCGGCCTGTCGTGTCCTGACCTGACGCCCTCAGTATCCGACCTGCCCTGTAACCTGACCTGACGAGTGACCTGCCTGTCCGTGCCTCCTGGCCTGCCTCCTGACCAGACCTGACCTGACCCGCCTCCTGACCTGACCTGACCCGACCCGCCTCCTCAGCCGGAGGAGCTGGTGCTACCGTACGTGGTGGAGCGCAAGCGCCTGGATGACCTGGCGGCGAGTATCCGCGACAGCCGCTACCGCGAGCAGAAGTTCCGGCTGAAGCGATGCGGCCTGCCGCACGTCATCTACCTGGCCGAGGCCATGGGCTCCGGGCCACGAGCCCACAGCGTCGGGTGAGACGGGCCGGCCGGCCTGCCGCACGTCATCTACCTGGCCGAGGCCATGGGCTCCGGGCCACGAGCCCACAGCGTCGGGTGAGACGGGCCGGCCGGCCTGCCGCACGTCATCTACCTGGCCGAGGCCATGGGCTCCGGGCCGCGAGCCCACAGCGTCGGGCGAGACGGGCCGGCCGGCCCGCCGCACGTCATCTACCTGGCCGAGGCCATGGGCTCCGGGCCGCGAGCCCAGAGCGTCGGGCGAGGCGGGCCGGCCGTCCGGCAGCACGCCGTTTGGGGTCGCGGCGGCCGGCTGGAGTGCAATTACCGGATTGTTAGCAATTAGTGTACAAGAAGAGCTTACAGCTAGTGTACATAGCTGTAAGCTCTTCGGTCCCACTTCCTGGCGTGGCCGTCCACTCTTGTGTGTTGAATTCTAGGTTCTGCATTGCAAATGATTATGAGAGTAATAAGTTATGTTGCATTGTTTGGGAACTCTAATTTTTCATTTTTGAAGTTTCTCAAGTTTCCTGGTCGGAGACCCTGACCGAGTGTCAACACGGAATTGATATTTCATGATCAAGGTGTTCGGTGATGTCATAAGTGAGCTTGTCAAACTGTGCCGGTGTCAGGCTGGAGCGTTTTAAGAAGTGGGTGTGTCGGATCTTGTCAGACTGTGACAGTGTGTCAGGCTGGAGCGTCGTGAGAAGTGGGCGTGTCGGATCTTGTCAGGCTGTGACAGTGTGTCAGGCTGGAGCGTCGTGAGAAGTGGGTGTGTCGGATCTTGTCAGACTGTGCCAGTGTCAGGCTGGAGCGTCGTGAGAAGTGGATGTGTCGGATCTTGCCAGACTGTGCCAGTGTCAGACCGGAGCGTCGTAAGAATTGGATGTCGGATTTTGTCAGACGGTGCCAGTGTCAGGCTGGAGCGTCTTGAGAAGTGGGTGTGTCGGATCTTGTCAGACTGTGACAGTGTGTCAGACTGGAGCGTCGTGAGAAGTGAGCGTGTCGGATCTTGTCAGACTTTGACAGTGTGTCAGCCCGGAGCGTCGTGAGAAGTGGGTGTGTCGGATCTTGTCAGACTGTGACAGTGTCAGGCCGGAACGTCGTGAGAAGTGGGCGCGTCGGATCTTGTCAGACCGCATCGGCGTCTCAGATAAGAGGCATCATGAGAGGCGGGCGTCTTGCACTGTCTCCGACTGTCAGCGCGTCAGGCCGGAGCGGCATGACACGTGAGAGGTCGGACCTTGTGAGACCTTGCCATCGTGTCAGACCAGAGCATATGAAGAGGTAGTTGTTTGGAGTCCTTTTAGATGGAGGCGTCGCGGAGGGGGGGGGGGGCGCACCGGGCCGTCACAGATGATGTCGGACCTCGGCGTCACCAGGCGCGGCCGCGTCGGATCGGAACGTCACCAGAGGGGATCGTGTCCCTGGTTGTGTCAGGCCGTGTCAGTGATCGTATCAGGACGTGTCAGTGGTCGTGTCAGGCCGTGTTAGTGGTCGTATCAGGCCGTGTCAGTGGTCGTGTCAGGCCGTGTCGGACCGGAGCGTCACTAGAGGGAGTCGTGTCCGTGGTTGTGTCAGGTCGTGTCAGACCGTGTCAGTGGTCATGTCAGGCCGTGTCAATGGTCATGTCAGACCGTGTCAGTGGTCATTTCAGGCCGTGTCAGTGGTCATGTCAGGCCGTGGCAGTAGTCATGTCAAGCTGTGAGTGGTCGTGTCAGGCTGTGTCAGTGGTGTCAGGCCGTGTCGGACCAGAGTGTCACCGGAGGGGCCGTGTCGGACCAAAGCGTCACCGGGGATGGGCCGTGTCAGTGGTCGTGTCAGGCCGTGTCAGTGGTCGTGTCAGGCCGTGTCGGACCGGATCGCCCCGGGGGCGGTCTCGTCACACCGCGCCGCTCCGCTCCGCCGGCCGGCAGGATGCCCGACTCGACGCTGCAGCAGGCGCTGGCCAACTGCCAGGTGGTGGACGGCTTCCGCGTGAAGCGGACGGCCGACCAGCGCGAGACGGCCGCCTTCCTCACGCTCATGACGCGCCGGCTACAGCGCCGCTACCAGGTCAGCAGTGTCCGGCCCGGCCCGGGGGGCGGGGGGGGGGGGGGAGCGGGCGGAGCGGGCGGGCGGCGCGGGCTGGGCGTACTACCCTGGAGCTCTGTGCGGGGGGGGGGGGGAGACCGGGTGGGAATGGCCAGAGGGAAATTTGTAATTTGCCGTCATCACCAGCCGTCGCGCAGGATACCAGACCGCTGTTTGGCTTCCGGATGGCCAGCTCAGGAGCCGCCGCGGGGTGATCCTCGGCGGTGCGACCGAACCTTCAGCGGGCGCGGTGCGGGGGCGCGGCTCGCATGCCACGGGCCACACAGTCGGCCTGGCGTCGGCACGTACAGGTCTGAGTCAGAGGTCAGGATTGCGTCAGAGTCGCCGCCGCAGTTGGACCCGGACCAACACCAAACGGTCAGGCCGTGCTGGCCGCTGGCGGGGCTGGTGTGTGGTTCGCCAGGCCCGGCTAGCTCAGTCGGTAGAGCATGGGACTCTTAATCCCAGGGTCGTGGGTTCGAGCCCCACGTTGGGCGGCGCGTTTTAAGCTTCTTCATTGACCTGCCAGTTGCAGCACCTCAGACTGCCGCACGCCGGCCACCTCCGCGGTAGCTCGCGTCCCCTCACACCCCGTGTCGTTCCCAGCATCTCCGGTCTGGAGAGCTGTCCGCGGGACCTCCTGCCGGCGGCGATGTCGGCCACTCCACAGCGCCTGCTTCGCTTCAGCGAGTTCCACCAGCTGTCGGCGAAGCGGCAGCGGCTGACGGCCACCGACCTATTCGCCAAGATGCTGCTGCAGCTGGCCGGCCTGTCAGTGGACAAGGCCGGCGCCGTGGTGGCCGCCTACCCGACCGTGCGCCGCCTGCTGGACGCGTACGCCGACTGCGACACGCCAACCGAGGCGGAGGCGCTGCTCGCGCCGCTGCGCGCGCCCAGGTCGGGTCGCCCGCTCGGCGCCGCCGTCAGTCGCGCCCTCTACCACCTGTACTGCGACGCCCAGCTGCGGTGAGGAGGGGCGACCGGGCCGGCGGCGGGCCCCGGACGGACCGGCCACGGGGGCTGGTGGCGTGCCGATCAGCTGGCTGGCGGTGCGTCAGGTCCGGGTCTAGAGTCACGTTGGTTGGCAGGCGTCGAGCTCATTGTTTACGGTTGTTTGAGATGGAATGTATAGGGCTTTATAGGGAATATATAGGGCTTTTAGATTGTTTTTGGCCGATTGGAGCGTATTGGAGCGAGCAACCGGAGCCACTTCATCTGCGGGTGTGCGTGCGAAGAAGACACGGCGTCTATTGTTTCATGTTTATACTATCGAGCCCGTTAGTACCTTTCATATGTCAAAATGTGTAAGTTGTCATAGCATAAGTGTTACATATATCATCACTGCAGCTCAGTTACGTGACGTGTCTCGTGTTCATTCCAATAAAATTCCGCGTGAAACTCTACTTGATACCCGTCTCCGAAAGCCCCAAGCTCAACATTGCCTGCCTCCGCGGCCGACCGCTGAAGCGGTGCGCGCTGTGTCTGCCCACACGTCGTCGACTGGCCGGCGGGCCGCGGCCGCGCCGGCGCTCAGCGGGCCGCGGCGCCGCTCCGCGCCTGCAGCACGCCGCCCACGCCGAGGATGAGCAGCGCCCAGAAGGCGCCCCAGGCGAGCAGCACCGCCGGGAAGCCGCAGTAGCCGACCGTCTTCTCGGCGGCGAAGTCGCAGCCGGCGCGGCGCCGACCCTCGCGGCAGTGGCGCCCCGCCGTGCGCGCCACGAACACGCAGACGCACTGCACGGGCGCCGCCACTGTAGCCGTCGAGAGGCGGGAGGTGCGGCCCGACTCGGGCACAGGCAGGTGGTCCGACTGAAACGGCGACGGGTGGGGTGTCCAGGCAGCGGACGGCAGACAGAGGGGAGCGGCGAGAGGCGGACCAGAAGGGACGCCAGGGAAAGCGGACGGGAGACGTCAGGGCGGGGGGAAGGGCACTGGGGAGAGCGGACGAGGCCACCAGAGGCCCGAAGAAAAGATGCGGGGAGCGTGAGAAAGGGTGACGAATGGACGGTCGTGCAGCATTTTGGATACGAGGGAGGAAAATCCTGTTCTCCGGCATGCCCCCGCCCAATGAAAAAGCTATCTTACAGAAATGCGTTAAAGCGAGGTTGAATATCTTTGATTCCTTGCGCGAATATCCCCAACGCTGCCTTGTTTGAGAAGGCGGCACTAATTTGCATGGACATTTTTGCCGCCAGCCTTCAAAGTTCCGCGCGATGCCTTCACGCAGCAGGTCCGTCTCGGCCCGACTCTTCAGCTTGCCAACCTAGAGCCGCGGCCAGCCGCATATTGCGGCCCTTGGGATGCGAACCCACATGCCCGCGGCACGCTCGTCAGGCTTGGCGACACTCCACCGCATGAACTGAAGGGACGCAAAAAAAACGCCAGAAAATCCGAGCATTGGTCGTGGCCGCGCTATAATGCACTCGCAGCACGACGCATGAGGCGCAGGATGTACGGCGTACCTGTTCCACTGCTTCCGTTGTTACCGCGCCGGACCAGCACGACGTTAAAGACGACATATGACGGAAACTATCTGCACACGTAAAAAAACGCCCGCCGCCGCCGAACGCCGCCGTTCCGGGCCTCACCTGCGGACTCTGGTTGTCTGCCGTCTGCTTGACACCAGCAGTGAGCGGCGGAAGCAGCGGCGGCAGAGGGCCGGAGGAGGGGCTACGATGTGTGGGGTGCAGGGCGGTCCAGTCAGTCGGCTCTGTATGGCACACGGACGGTTACCAGACATTGAGATGTGAACTGGCGCGGAGACAGGTCCAAAACTGGTCTTCACGCGATTTTTTTGCGAAATATCAACGTTTTCGCAGATCGATCGTGATAAACGTGTCACACGTAAGGATTCAGGTCCCTTCGATATATACTATACACCACGCGGCGTTATTGAGCGATGACGGAGGTAAAGCAGGGCAATTCGGGCCCAGCAGGCTTGTCATGCTGTGTAACACGGCATCAGTCTTTCCTCACCCGTAAAATAGTGGCACTCGTGCTCATACATAAGTTCGTTCTTGACACAGCACTTAGTACGTGTGGAAACATGAGGTCGCAGTAGAGACCCCTGGCGATCCAGATATCTCCTGATCCACACGCAATCTCCGCGAGCCCACCGCGTCCTGCTGAGTGGATCTGGCTGGTGTGGACCACAGCACCCGCTAACTCCACCGCACTGGCGGCCCGCGCTCATGCCTCACCTATGGCGATGCGCGGCTGGGAGGGCGCCGACACCACCAGCTGCGGCACGTCGTGCGTGGTGCTGGTAATCACACCGGGCAGGTCGGCCACGCTGTTGTCGCGCGGCATTGGGTGTCGACTCAGCTCGCCGCTGCCCCACTAGACGGCCAGTGTTGGATCGCCCGCGGCCACCCGATGAACGCGACGCCTCCGGAGAATTTGAGTTTGCAAAATAACCCCCTAGTCCCTCCCGCCCCCAAACCCCTCATATATACCCCAAAACGCACATCAGGGCTGAGGGCTGAGTTGCCTTGCCCTTCGTTCAGTCATTTACGGAGTTCACAGCAAACCATTTTCAACGCACGTGGTATAACCGAACCGCAATCCACCATCACGCAATGCCGCCGACCTGGAGGACACTGCCCGTCAATTTTATACGCCATTTGCCCCGATCCCTTTATTAAGCGTCGCGTCCAGGACACGCAGCCCCTAGCAGGTAAACATTAGTTCAGCACACAACATCACAGAGCAGCGGTCGGCGGCGGCGGCCAGCGCACTAGCCAGCCGGCTGGGGTTTGTCGGTCGGTGACGCCGCTGCCTCCGTCGCCGGGCCCTCCTCTGGTGCCGGTCGTGGCATCTTGGCCTCGCCCTCACGGCGCAGCGTCTCCATCCTCCGTTTCTTGGGCGGCACGTAGCTGCCCATGCCTGCGGCAGAGCGCGAGGTGAGACAACCTGACCGGAGGGACTTCGCCTGGGGAGCTTCGTAAGGGAAAGCCGTATTGCGAGAAAACCCTGGTCTGCATGCGACGTCTAAAGGGAGGCATCGCCAGGGGAAAATCGCCTTATCGCCTCACACCTTCAGAAACAAACGACGCAATCCGCACGAACTGGCGCGAAAGCATCAGGCGCTTGAACCAGGGCGCCCCTCTCTCCACACCGGGGCAATGACGGTGTTCCACGATGAACACTTCAGCTCATCAGCCACGCACCGAGTCACCACTGTTGACCTGTGGCTGACCCACACCTGTGACTGTCGTCGAGCTCAGGTCACGCGGCCCAATATAAAAACATGCAACGTTAGAATGGATACAAACCCAGGCATACAATCGGTGCAAAAACATCAAACGTTGAAGGCGCCGGGAGCCCAGAACGGATTCCCGGTGGGAAATAAACATGGCCAGGTATCGTACAAAGTCCATCACGTTTATTATGTTCAGTGTGCACTCCACCCAGCTTTATCATATTTATCCCGCACCCCAGCAGCGCGGTGCTCGACCAACTTCAGAAGTACGAGGACAACGGCGAACTCCATATATTTTTTTGCGTATTGGTCTGATCGGCTCGCCCCGGTCCCGCGAACCTTGGACGCACGCCGACCCGCCACCTACTAACGAACTATAGTGCTCAGATGTTTTGGACGCTTGTTTCCGTAGTTGACGTTAAACCGTAGTCGTTCAGCCGCCTAGCGGAAGTTACCGGAACTTGTGTTTGGTCATGTCACCGCTGCGGAAGGCTGCGTGTGGGGCGACGGCCATTGTGCGTGTTGTTTGTGTGGTGCGGCGCAGCTGGCTGTGTGGCTGCTGTAGGCTGTGTACCGAGCTTCTTGGGTTGACATTAATGCAAGTAATTGTTTGATTTAAATATAAGGTAATAAACTTGTGTTGGGAACGAACATTACACGAACCCAGGCTGCTCACCGCGGTGCGTTCTACTTCTGTGTCCACCCAGCACAGGTGTACTGTTTGGGCCTCGATGACGTGTGTTTTCCTTAGTAAGACGACGATCAGTTATCGTCGCGTATTGATCACACAGCGCTCAAATAGACATCTGTGCATATAACCCGTGTCACTTCACACGCTATTAAAATCTATAAATTAAAATAAAAATAACACGCTATTAACAAAGCTGAAATGACGGGCGATCGAATTGCGCCTTGGATTAATTCACGCTGAATTAAATTGCACGCACCCCCCCCCCCCCCCCCCACGAACGTAGAAACACACACACACACGCACGCACGCACGCACGCACGCACGCACGCACGCACGCACGCACGCACGCACGCACGCACGCACGCACGCACGCACGCACACACACACACACACACACACACACACACACACACACACACACACACACACACACACACACACACACACAAGCAAAAAATAAAAAAAAACATGACGAGCACAAACGCACTTGAACCGTAAAGAGCAATGTACCTCCTGGTCAGCCTATGTACCTCCGGCTCTCTCAGACCGCTTGCTCCTACCCCCTACCAAAGCATCCCTGTCTAGGCCGTTTGTCACAGCGCCACCCATCTGACGCACGGAGACCATTCGTGCTCCCCCCCCCCCCCCCCCCCTGCGTTGACGTACCAGCAGCTCGCTCCGACTCGGCCACCGAGTACGGCTCGTCCTCCAGCGCCTTGAGCCGCCGCTTGTGCACCTTGGTCCGGAAGTGGTCGTCGAGAGCCGTCTGGTCGATGAAGTGGCGGCTGCGAACATAGCGGGCCGCACATCGGTCAGCCGGCTGGAGCCGAGCGTGCGTGACAGCTCCGCGCCGCCGATCGCTGGGCTCTGGGTGCCAGCGCCAGTCTAGGAGACATTACTCTTCTGCAATGGTGCATTTGTATCCTTTTAAATACTTGATCATTCTCCACGGTTCAGTGGAAATGAGCATGTTTTAATTCGGGGACGAAGGATCGACAGGGAACACGGTAGCTATTGCACGGTACCACGGTACCAAACATATATATTTGCTGATAATCCCTGCATATTTTTGAATAACCCTGCTAACGAACTACAACATCCAGGAACTCAAACAAACAATGCCATTTTCATACCGCATCTATAAGCAGCATAATCTACATGGCAGACTGCTTCGGGAAACACCATAGTTCGTTCACCTTCCGCGCTTCCGTGATATCGCACCAGGCTAAGAGAGCTCTCCATAGTGATTATCCTGGAGCAAAGCTTACGAGCAGTGAATGCAGTAGAACTGGGCGAAGCCCGGCTTCTCCAGGTCCATCTCTTGGTTCAGCAGCTTTTCGGCATTCTTCTTCTCCAGGTCCGCATCGATCTGAAGTGAAGACACGGTGTTAGGCGCTATTAGCTCGACCAGATGTGCTTCACGTTCACCGAATGAGGGCCACTGGAAAACTTCATATAGTTGGTAGGTGCACTGATATTCCATGCCATGCAGCACGGTGCCTTGCAGGCAGCCGAGAATACGTGGAATTAGCAATGTATGAATAAACAAATTGTGACTGTGAACTGTCATCATCGAGGAAGACGAGACATTGCTAGCACGACTTGGCGCTGGTTCTGTGCGCAGATATTCACATTACAGTGACATCAGAACCTTACACTTGCCTGCGGTGAGACATTACGACCTCGCGTAAGGCCCACAGTGATAACCGAACCCTGGCCTCCGGTCCAGCTGATGTGAGCGGACGCTCGCTGCCGCCCGGGGGGCGCTCGTTCGGCCCCCAGTCCGGCCGGTGCGGGCGGACGCTCGCTGGCGCCCGGTCCGGCTCGTGGGGGGAGGAGGGCGCTCGCTGGCGCCCGGTCCGGCTCGTGGGGGGAGGAGGGCGCTCGTCTGGCGCCCGGTCCGGCTCGTGGGGGGAGGAGGGCGCTCGCTGGCGCCCGGTCCGGCTCGTGGGGGGAGGAGGGCGCTCGCTGGCGCCCGGTCCGGCTCGTGGGGGGAGGAGGACGCTCGCTGGCGCCCGGTCCGGCTCGTGGGGAGGGGAGGACGCTCGCTGGCGCCCGGTCCGGCTCGTGGGGAGAGGAGGACGCTCGCTGGCGCCCGGTCCGGCTCGTGGGGAGAGGAGGACGCTCGCTGGCGCCCGGTCCGGCTCGTGGGGAGAGGAGGACGCTCGCTGGCGCCCGGTCCGGTTCGTGGGGAGAGGAGGACGCTCGCTGGCGCCCGGTCCGGTTCGTGGGGAGAGGAGGGCGCTCGTCTGGCGCCCAATCCGACCCATGGGGGAGGAAAGCGCTCGTCTGGCGCCGGGCCGGACGGTGCGGGCGGGCACTCACCTCGTCCAGATCCTTGGTGCGGCAGCGGAGCCGCCAGCGCTTTTTCAGGTGCGTGTCGCCGTGGTGCATCTTCTTCCGCCGCTGCGGGCCTGGCATGTTGGCCTGGCTGGGAGGATGGGGCTGAGGTGTCCGGTCCAAACTCTGCACCCGCACACCGACTGTCTACCACTGCAAGCACAAACCAAAACCAAAACTGAAACAGTGACAATGCAGGGCTTCTGCGCATTGTATGTTTGTGCACCTACAACAAAAAGTGTTTTTTGGACACTTCAGCTTCAGAGGTCCTGCAATGGCCAACTTGCACAGGTACTGTTGTATACAGCTGATGCAACCAGTGTGCCGCTTGACTTTAATAAAAAAGGAGAAATCCATTCATGGTAAAGAATGAGTTTTCCATGAGTGAAGTAGTTGTTCAGTGAGTCATTGAGAAAGAGTCTCTTTGACAGCTTTGGCTGAGAAGATTTTGACACACTGCTCATGTGCCCTCCCCACATTAAAGGAGCTGCAGCTAACCAGGAAGTTATTAAATAATTAACAGATCACAAATCAGTGTCTGCATAGCTCAACAGGCAGAAAAATTCCATGCCACAGGTATAAGGTCATGGCACACCCAATCCATTTAGATCTCACACTGTAGATTATATCTGATTGCTATGATGTCCCATTCTTATAAGAAAGAAGAAATGTGAACACAATAGTGAATGAATTATTATGACTCCAGAACCAGACAAGGGCTATTTAACATCATCTTTCTCTACTTCCAGTAGTTTCCTTCCAGACAAAAGCATAGTGTTCAGACAATGAAACAGAACAGGATAAAAAACATTGGGCAAGTTGAACCATTTAACACCATGTTCTGCTAAATTCAGAGATAACAGCATCAGTAGCAGGAATGGGGCTATGAATTCCAGAGCTATTAGTAGGGTTAGGATACGAGTCAAGTACAAGCATGGATGGATGCTTCATAGATGTGAGGGAGAGGGAGGGGTACAACATATACCACTTCCAAATTAGTCAAAAGCATCTCCCAAAGTTTGAGGTTTGATAAAAGGTACATGAGGTAAGCATAAAAGGTTTGAGTGATGCACATAAGCTAAGAGAAAGTTTATAACAGCTAACTGAAATGGATGCAATGTTGCTAAGAGGAAAAACAATGGTGGGACCCCTTCTTAGCCTAGACTGCAAAAAATTGATCCTTGAACATGATATGCTGATTATGCCTGACACAACAGCAACAACACAGCAACACGTTCAGCCAGTGCACACCATAAGCCCAAGGATTCAGACTTTGGAGCGTGACCACCCAGCATGCTGAAAAGCCAGTGAGAGGCTTTTTTAACTTAGGATCAATATGACTTATTATCAAACAATTGTTACAAATAATCTTGAACATCACTAGAACCACTCCTAAATGGGAAGGGTAACAACGGGCACTACGAAAATAACATTGCACGTGCATTCACGATCATCTAGCCATCTCTGGCCTATCACCAAGCACAAAGTTCTGTACCCAAATACTTAGATGAAGAAAAAAGGACAAAAAACATTTAAAATGGATAAGATTCTCCCTCACATTCAGCAACGCCAAAGGCTCTGAGGAACACGTGCTCAGTTGTGTTGTCAATTGGTCACATCCAATGATATGTCTCACATGCGTCAGATAAGACTCAATATGTCCTGTTGACGACATCTAACAACAGTCTTTATAACTTATAGTTATACGTTTCAGTAATAGGGCCCAAACTTTAAGCCGCGTTCCACGTACCGGAAGTGAAACTGCTACTGCCGGTGCTCGCAAGGGATGCCATGTCATATTTTCAATTAGGTGACCTCTGACCCTACGTATTCCCGCTACAGGGATGCCATCTATCTGCAGCCCACACTCAGCTACATATGTAAGCTCTGCCGTCCCGGTGTCTCGCCTCCGGCTCACTGGTACACTCAGTATGTCTAAAGTCACTTTTGTATTTGACACACGTCACAGCACTACGAACAGCCCATCCCGCGGGCGCGTCCGCCCTCGCGCCGGCGGCTCTCCGAGTCTTCTCCTCGTTACTCCCCCTATCCTGGCCCCCGTGGCCGCGTCCCCCGCATGGGACGCCTGGTGCCGGAGGAGGAGAACGCGAGCGCCGCTTAGAGGCGCTCGCCAAACTAAGTAAACATTCACTGGCTAGCACATAGGTGGTCTCCGACACCTTACACATACGTATGAGAAAAATTCGCTCCGGAGGCTGCAGAGCCGGCCCACCCGACCGGAACCGAGGCGCCGAGCCCGCTCGAGTGACAGAGACACGCCCAGCTTCAGAACAGAGCTACGCTCGTTTTCAGGACACCAGGGCACGACGCGCTTAGAAAGTGCCCCGGCGGTGCCAGATCAATCGCCTGGGCGCCAGCTGGACTCGGCCGGGCGACCACGAGCCAGCAAGGGCGAAACCGTCCAGCTTTGCCGATGGCATATGGGGAGGCGACCGGAGCCGACCGGAGCTGACCGGAGCCGACCAGAGCTGACCGGAGCCAACCGGAGCTGACCGTAGCCGACCGGAGCTGACCGGAGCTGACCGGAGCTGACCGGAGCCGACCGGAGCTGACCGGAGCTGACCGGAGCTGATCGGAGCTGACCGGTGCTGACCGGAGCCGACCGGAGCCGACCGGAGCTGACCTGAGCCGACCGGCGTACCTGTCAGTGGATCACATCGCTTTGGTACGCCAGAGATTTTCCGAGGACGCCATTGAGGACAGGGGCAAGCGTGTCCTACTTCAACGAACCGCGCCGCCATCAAGGACGCAACGAAGGGGAAGCTGCTCACTTTTCACCATACACGGCGTATACAAGCCCGTCATCATCCCTGAAGCAAGCCCTGCCCGCGACCACGCCCGACTGGGAAGGACGGCTCTGGGAACAAAGGCCTGCGTCCCGCGGCATAGCACGCCGCTTACCGGCACCAACACCGCTGCCACCCAACCGTCGGAGGCATCCCGTTCGGGCGCACACCTGCGACTGAGTCGGGGGTGACCAGAGCACCGCTGCTGCAGTCGAGCCGGGGTGACCAGAGCACCGCTCCTGCGGCTGAGCCGGGGTGACCACAGCACCGTTCTTGCGGCTGAGCCGGGGTGACCACAGCACCGCTCCTGCAGTCGAGCGGGAGTGACCAGAGCACCGCTCCTGCGGCTGAGCCGGGGTGACCAGAGCACCGCTGCTGCAGTCGAGCCGGTGTGACCGGAGCACCACCCTTGTGGCTGGGACGTAGTGGCGCAGGAGCAATGTTCTGGTGCCCCTCGCTCCAGAAATCGCGAGCGCGCTGGATCAAATCTTGTGATGCAATTTGTTTCACCAATCGATTCTGCAAAAGAATGGATGTTTTCATGCAAAGATGGGATAGTCTTATTCACTTTTGTACACATTTCGATCTACCCTATTCACCACTAATGATACCCTTACTTTTTGGGCAAAGAGCCCCCTTGAGTAAAACACTAGGGGGCACATTATTGTTCCCGGTCAAGAGCTGAGAGGCCTTTCCGTCCCACTGCGGGGTGTCTTCCAGCCGCCATTCTGGCGACACGAAGCGGAATCCCCTGGTCAATCCGACGGCCCTTAGAGGGATACATCACATCACATTGGTCTCCGTTCAGACGCGGGAGACCTTCTGATCGGCGCGGTTGGCGCCGGACCGACACAGGAACCTTCGTTGACGTAACAAGATCTCTTATCGCAGCAGGTGGTCCAATAATTGGCACATAGACTGTTGACTGTTGAGCCAATTCTTAATGAATAATGAATATATTTTTGTAACAGAACAAGCAGTAGAAAAGTACCCATATTTCATCTCATACTAAGCCATCAGTCAGCTTTCTATCGCTAAGGTAAACATTTTTGTCTTCAAGTAAATGAGCCATCGTTTTTGAATTATGATGAAAATATTGAGAGATAAGAATGAAAACGTCATCAAACACATACTAGATCGTAAGATGTCAGCAAAATGTACGCACATATACCTTCATGAACCTCCCAGCACCTATGCATCACTGATCCCAATTTACTGGAGGAATGCTTTCGATCACATTGGCTTTACGTCACGCCGGATCCTTACGTAATTGAAACATCCTGTCTTCCAGAACAAAACGTCTCTTCGAAATCAATGGGACCTCATTTTCGTCCGGAGAGCTGCCTCCTGTTGTACAGCGGCTTGAAATCACCCAACTTATCTGCGTGCCGAAACCGTTCCCCTTACTGGGATGATCCACCCTCGCCAGGACACGTGCAGGTCGCCCTTCTACAATGCGGCAACGTGTCCTCCGTAGTTAGCATGGGCTCAGCGCGGCTGGCCGCTACTGGCGAGACGTCCGCTCGAACCCCGTCATCTGGACAGGCTCAACACGGCGATCGCGAACGCTCTGTAGAAATGACTGGCTTGAAATATTGATGCGAGCTGCGATGATTGAAAAGCAATACTCTGCTGGCTGTGGCATCACCTTCGGATTCCTTCCGTTCTCTCTACCCGTAATCTCATACTGTAGAAATAGTATGGCCCGACAGACTTCTCGTCGCTTAACCGACGACAGTTAACCCAAAGAAACCGAAATGTTCTCCAGTTATAGCAGGCTGCAGCACGTACCCAACGAGGAACTTCAAGGGCACTACATTCCGAAACTGCCGAAAACACGTCTCCGACAGCCACGATGGGACACGCCACCTGCCAAGCTATTCTGGTCGTTGGACGCCGGCGATGCATTCTGGGCAGGGCCGGTCCTGAGCAGGCCGCTGCCGACCGACGTTCTGCGCAGCGGCCCTGTACCGGCCCGCACCGGATCAGTGCTCGACGATCAGCGTCGGCGGCAGCGTTCCGGCTCATTCGCTGTAGGAGAGACTTCGAGAAAGGACATCGGGATAGCAGGGCCGCCGCCACCACACCGCAACGATGGGCAAGGGAGGACCAAGTGAGTACTCGCGTATTTTTCGCGAAGCCCGCGCCTGCATGGGCTGTTCTGTTTCGTTTTGCGGTAATCATAACTTTACTGCGGTCGATCGTGTGCACGTGTTATGTGGGCTGTGAGTATAGAACTAAAAGTTGTCCAAAATCGAAACTCCTATCGGGTTGGCGACCACCAGGGTGGGTTTAAGGAAAAGCTGTAACATTCTATCCGAAAATGCAATCTGTGCGCGACCCCCATCATACGTCGCCACACATCACCGGAGCTATTCAACTAATCCGCGAATGGAAGGCGTCAGGAGTCGAACCAGACCTGCAGAGGTGGCGGTGCCCGTGCAAACTGTGGTCGGCTGAACGCAGCTAATTTCGTTCGTAGAGAAGGGAGCCGCCGCGGCACCCGCCGCTCCGGCTACCAAGAGCGAAGCGAAGAAGGGTGAGAAGGCGCCCAAGGAGGCCAAAGGTGGAAAGAAAGGTACGGGAGCTGATTGTAGTGATTTTCGGCTCACCTCTTTTACAAAGCAAAGCCCGGTGGTGGAAGCGGCTTGCTTTGCTTGTTGGTTTGTGCGAGGTCCAAAATCTGGCAAGGTAGGCATTGATGATGTGCCCCCGCTGATGTCAAAAGGCAAGACGCTCCTGGTGAATTAATCTCAGGGCTGCTACCTGTCTTAAAGACTAAAATTTGCAACCCATGGTAAGATGCGTCGTAATTTGTCGGCGATTATTTGTCTACAATGCAAATAGGCCCATTTTAAAGTCTGGGAAACACGTCACTTCCTAGCCCTTCTCACGTTTTAGCCTCCTTGACGGTTTGGAAAGTTCCACTCATGCTATGGTCTCGTCGGGATAACTCGGCCATCGTTGTATCATGACAAGGTCTCGCGGCATGCGCGTACCCCTCGACGACAGGCGTCTTCAACAGCTGCTGTGTTGCAGGTGGCAAGAAGTGACGGCGGCGAGTCGTGATGCCACGGCGTCCACATCTGCTGGCTTCACTGGGCGACGCGCTCCTGGCTTCGCTGCCGATCGTGGTCGAGACGCATCATAAAGCGCCCGTGAGCTCGGTCCGAGCCGGTCGAAGACAGAGCTGTTCGCCCTATTTCGTTGTGTTCAAGGCTGTGTGACAGTTTGCTGTTCCTCTATCGTACCTGTCTGGCACAAGAGGCACTGCCGAGTGCCAGTTGGGGCACGCGGGCGTCTATCGTAGAACGAAGCAAACGCGATGTACTGTGGTCACGCTCACAGTCGAACGGCCGTTGTGCGCTCATCGCCGAGGCTACTGAGCTTGTGTGTAGTGCTTCTTACAGGCAAGATGGCCTACCTTGATTGTCCAGTGTTCAGTGTCACCAAATAAATGAGGAGTTGGTACTTGAATGGTTATCATTTCAGATATGCGCCATTGCATATATGGTCAGGTTTTGAAATTTCTACGATGCTCTTACTCCTTACCGAGTGGTAAGGAGCACGAGCATCACAAAGACACAAGTGGTCAATGAAGTAAGGTTACTGGCTCGAATAGACAACATTTATCAATAGTTACACGGATATGTTCGATAAACTTTACCGTGGGGTCAGCTTCGGGCCTGCGATAGTCCGTGGACGAAGTGTTCCCGGTTCCTTACATACTTAAGTGAGGCTCGCGCCACGCGACATTAATGAGCTCAACAGGAGAATTACGGGCTCTGTATAAAAAACTAGCTGC